CAGCTCAGGTAAGTGAGGGATGGGGGGAAAGGCAGCAGGGACACATGGGGACACTGAGACACTAGGGGACACAGACACTAGGGGGCACATGATGATACACTAGGGGACACTGAGTCACTAGGACACAGACACTGGGAGACCTGGGAACACAGACACTTGGGGACACTGGAAAACATGGGGACACTGAGACACTAGGGGACACAGACACTAGGGGACACTGAGACACTAGGACACATGAGGACACAGACACTGGGAGACCTGGGGACACTGAGACACTTGGGGACACTGGAAAACATGGGGACACTGGGACACATGAGGATGCTGAGACACATGGGGACATTGGGAGACACAGACATTGGGACACGGAGACACTATGTTCCCATGTCCCCAGCCAGTGTCCCTAGTGTCTCAGTGTCCCCAAGTCTCCCAGTGTCTGTGTCCCATGTCTCTCAGTGTGCCTAGTGTCCCCATGTCTATGTCCACAACTGTCCACATGTCTCCCCAAGTGTCTGTCTTCCAGCCAGTGTCCCCTAGTCTCCCAGTGTCTGTGTCCCTAGTGTCTTAGTGTCCCCAAATGTTTCAGTGTCTCCATGTCTCCCAGTGTCTGTGTTCTTAGTGTGTCAGTGTGTCTGGTGTCCCCATGTCTCCCAGTGTCCCTACATGTCCCAGTGTCCACATGTCTATGTCCACAACTGTTCCCATGTCTCCCGTTGTTCCCCAGTGTCTGTCTCCCAGCCAGTGTCCCATAGTCTCCCAGTGTCTGTGTTCCCATGTCTCTGTGTCTCTAGTGTCTTAGTGTCCCCAAATGTTTTAGTGTCCCCATGTCTCCCAGTGTCTGTGTCCCTAGTGTCTCAGTGTCCCCATTTCTCCCAGTGTCCCCATGTCTCTGTGTCCCCATGTCTCTCTGTGTCCCCATGTCTCTCAGTGTCCCCAGTATCTTAGTCACATGGGGACACTGATACACTGGGTGACATGAGACACTGGGAGACAGGGAGACACTGGGAGCAATCCATCCATACAGCAGAATCAAACAGTGAGTAGTTTGTTGGTGATTTTACAGAATTTTCTCTGTCACTCCTTGTGATTTACATCATGTGATGTCACGCATAACTAATTAATTATACAAATGATTAAGGCTGGAATTTTTTCCAAGAAGGTGGCTGTGATGAGACCAATCTCACCCCTGTGCATTGTAGGAGCCTGGTTGCCCGCCTGCTGCCTTTAGACTATGGCCCCATGTTGAAACGCTTGATTTTTCCCCTGCTGAGACACGAAAGCCGGGTCATTCGGTGCTGGCCCTGTTTGAGCGGTGATACCCCAGATAGCCCATTCGTATAATGAAAGACTATGGGAAAGACTTTGGCTCCATGGCAATTGAACTGTATGCGTGTGCTCTGAGCGCCATTCAGTAATAATGTGCGCTCAGATCTGAGCTATCTGGGGATATGTTGAATGTACCTGTTGTGTGCAATGGCTGCACAGTTATATGTTTTTATGTGTTTTATTGTCTTTTGCTGCCATGTGTTCAATGGAGTTTTGCCTCTGTCCTTGGAGATAATTGGATTACTTTCCAATTATCTCCAGGATAGAAGACTCTGTGGAACTGGTTTTGGGCAGAAAAGCCATGCTTCCTTTGGTCACAAAGGACTACGATCTATCTTTTGAACCACTGGACCAATTTGACATATGTTTGTATTTGGAGTATGCTGATTCTGAAAATGTAAGTTTTATGTGAATGTGATGCATACTTTTCAAGTTATGAATAATGTGGAAAAATTGTATTTCTCTACTTGTGATAATTACATTACCCTTTGTGTAAGGTAATTGTATCACAGGCAGAGGGGAGGATTTTGTGTGGGAGTGTCTGAGTGTATTGTATGTGTTTATTTGTTGTTTTCCAAAACCCTGTGGGTGGTACTAATGTGTATATAAGAACAATAAACCCACAGCTCTGTCTGTTCCTGCTTGACCCTCAACACGGAGCCTTGTCTCTTTCTTGGGGGGATTTATTGTATGCTGTTCCAGTTTGACTGCTAGGAGTGTAAACCTATTCGTATGGTTTATCCTATTCGGCTGTTTACGGCATTCATATGGTTTCCTGTTCGGCGGATTGGTGTTCTGCAGTAGCTGTGCCTGTGTCTCTGGAAGGGAAGATCTACTAAATGGCGGTTTAACCCTTTTTTGCCTGGGGGTGCCGTTACAGTGGCAACCTTAACTACTCTTCACATACTCTTGCTTAAAGGAGCACTATAGGGTCAGGAACACAATCATGTATTTTTGACCCTATTATGTTAAAACCACCACCCTGGCCCCTTCTTGCCTCCCTAAATATAGTAAAATATTACTTGTATTCAATTCTGCAGCTGCTGGCTCAGAAGTGGTGGTCTGAGCAAATTACAATACTTCCCCATAGGATTGGCTGAGACTGTCAACTAGGCAGATCAGGGGCAGAGCCAGCACAAGTCCAACATAGCCCTGGCCAATCAGCATCTCCTCATAAAGATAAATTGAATCAATGCATCTCTATGAGGAAAGTTCAGTGTCTGCATGCAGAGGGTGGAGACACTGAATGGCAGTGCTGCACACTAGGCAGTACTGCCCCAGGAAGCACCTCTAGCAGCCATCTAAGGAGCGGCCAGTGGAGTTATTTTCTCTGAAAAGACAGTGTTTACTGCAAAAAGCCTGAATGGAATGATTCTACTTACCAGAAAAAATACAATAAGCTGTAGTTGTTCTGGTGACTATAGTGTCCCTTTAAGTTTGGAAGCTTAAGAGGGATGTATGGGAACAAAACTTGTGTGACTGGCTGACATTAAAATTAGTTTAGGTAATGCAGACGTTGGTCTCTCTAACACTGTGGCATGTCCCCTTTCTTCTACACTCACTACAGACACCTTTTCTCTGTCTCAGACTATATACCAGGAACTTCTGCCTGCTAGTAAGAAGGTAAGGAGACAAGTGGACCAGTGAGTGCTAGGGGACAGTCCTTAGAAAGAATGGAGTGAGCGCATCATTAGATGCATTTATGTCAAGCTGAAGGTGCTGCCTGCATAGTATGCCCTTAGCTGGACAGCCTGCAGGATTGGCAGGCAGCCTGACATGCATTCATGCCAGGCTGACCTTCCAATTCTTTGGACAAACATGCCCCCTTTTTGGGCATGTTCACCCCTTTTGGCAGGTCTTGTCACGTGATTCGCTTCCTGCTTCACTGGACACTGCTGTTAGGGGTTATGGATTTACTTGAAAGATGAAAGCATAAATTAGAGAAAGATTAGCATAGAGTATGTGTTTTCTTATAGCTCCATCCTATGAGTTTCCCTCCAGCACAATCTCCATCAGATACATGACGCTTGGCAGGTATGATTGTTTTAGTGTTTTTGGTCGATAAGATTCCGTAATTAGGCCCATCATAATTGTCAGCACCAGGCCCACTGTGCTCTTAATCCGGCCCTGCCAGGAGGAGATATAAACTTGTAAAGTAAATACACTGTGCTGTAAAAATTTGATTTTGTTTTTTATATGAAGGCCTTGAGAGTCACAGGCAGGGGAGGTGTGGATAGGGCTGCATAAATAAAGTGAGTTAATATTAGCCTTCCCAACAAGATGGGCTTTTCGATGGGAAGACGAGAGCTATTACCCACGTTATACCGGGCTATACCATCAAAGCTAAACGGGGAACGTACGTGAAAAGCCTCACCCACTCTTCAATGTTGCTTGACTATGTTATAATTATGTGTATAAAACGGGACCTGCGTGTCCAACAGATTACAAAAGCCTTTTTGGAACTCTGAGACCTGTGAGTCTCTGCATGAAACAATATGCCTTAATATATGAAACGACTTGCGAGTCACTGACATATATTCTATTATTGCTGACCCCCGCCCCCTGAAGAACAGAGCAGTGGCACCTATACACCGGTATGACCTATACACCAAAACAGCTTGATTTAAAAAAATAAATAAAAAAACAGTACAGACACCCAACTCTCAATGAGTTCATTTTAACTGGGACAGAGGGGAAAGCTTACAAAGGGTGCATACAGGAGATCTATAGCTTGTGCAAGCTGTGTTTTCATTTACCCCCCCAAAAAAATATGTGAATAAAATAAATGCATGTTTTCTCTGGGGGTTTAATGAGAAATAGCAATTCTGCAGCACATTACATAGATTGCATGTTGTGTTCTTTAGAACTAGCATAAGACGTGTGTAGTGTACTGTGCCAAGTACACTATAAAATGCTGTTTGAGGCAAAGTGTTGTTTGAGTGTTGACTTCTCCTTCCTTTAATATGTTTTGGCATTTCTTCGTTTTACCATAATTGGCAGGATTTTCACAATGTAGTCTGAATAATTAAAAGGTGTGAAAAACCACACATATAATTTGGCATTAACCGTATGAATTCGTGGCCAGGTGTGCATTAAAAGGGCATACAATGATGTGGCTACTGTAAAAGCTCGGGGGACGAACACACACACACCGACACACACACACACAATCCAACGCACACACACAATCCAACACACAGACGACACACACACACCAACACACACAATCTAACACACACACACAATCCAACACACACACACACACAATCCAACACACACACACAATCCAACACACACCAACACACACACAATCCAACACACACACACAATCCAACACACACCGACACACACAATCCAACACACGCACACACACACAATCCAACACACACACACAATCCAACACACACCGACACACACACAATCCAACACACACACACACACACAATCCAACACACACCGACACACACACAATCCAACACACACACACACACACAATCCAACACACACCGACACACACACAATCCAACACACACACACAATCCAACACACACACACACAATCCAACACACACAATCACACTGTCTCTCTCACTCTCTCGTCACCAGGACTGGAGGGAGGAGCCTATCCATGTGCGGCGGCCAATGGGATGGCAGCGTGCCGTGCGGGTTCCCGTCTCTCGATGCGCGCGCCCGTGGATGAAGGTTTGAGGGAGCGTGCAGCGCGTCAGAGGGATCCCTAAAATATCTGGTCTTCCCGTGTTCTGTGTGATTGCCGTGTGATTGCTGTGCGAGCTGGAGATGACGGAGCTGAGGCAGAGGCTGATCAGGGAGGAGGAGGAGGAGGCTGACGATAAGGAGAAGGTATTAATGTCAGGGTGCAGGCTGTGGATGGAGCGATGGATGTCACTAGCTGGGCAGGATGCTGGGCAGGATGCTGGCACTGTCACTATGGGAGATTGGGTGACGGGCTCTGACCGCACCGACTGTAATATATCTGTTTACCTCGGAGAGAGGGGGAGAGAGGGGGAGGGGCAGGATATTGGGGAACCTGGGTACCACTCAATGACACCCCTTTTATAGGAGGGTCTACATACTGCCAGGATATGCTGCTGGTAGGGATTATAGGGGGAATAGCTGCATTATAGAGGGGTTATTGGGATGTGGGTGGATTATAGAGGGGTTATTGGGATGTGGGTGGATTATAGAGGGGTTATTGGGATGTGAGTGGGGTATAGAGGGGTTATTGGGGGTATTGCTGCATTATAGAGGGGTTATTGGGGGTATTGCTGCATTATAGAGGGGTTATTGGGATGTAGGTGGATTATAGAGGTGTTATTGGGGGTATGGGTGGAGTATAGAGGGGTTATTGGGGGTATGAGTGGGGTATAGAGGGGTTATTGGGATGTGAGTGGGGTATAGAGGGGTTATTGGGATGTGGGTGGGTGGATTATAGAGGGGTTATTAGGATGTGGGTGGATTATAGAGGGGTGGTTGACCTTTAGAGTCATTATTGGGGGGTTGGGGTGTAATTCACTGTTTTCTCAGGGGTGTCCAATTAATAGAGTTCCAACTGCAGAAAACATACTTTCAACTGTGTCCAGATACAAATCATTGACTGGCCAAATGTGATGGGAGTTATAAATCACAGCTGCTTAAGGTTTCCTAGTCCTGTCCTCTCCCTATGTCATTAAGCTATTGACACCAGTGATGACAACAGCTGAGATGGCCTAATGGATCTGGACTGTATTATTCATGCAGTTCTGCCAATTCGCTCTGCAGGAGGAGTTTTCCCATACATGGTGTTAATTTAGAAGAATAGTTAGTGTATTATCCTAACACAGAAAAGTGTAGCATGATGTCCATGATGGTTGTAGAACTAAGGGTTAACCAACAATAATCCAGGTTGAACTCAATTACAGGGGCAGATGCTCTGTAGTCCTGTTACCCTTGTGAGACTATCTTGTCCTCTCCAGCTGTAGTATGGTGCTGATGGACTCCAAGGGTGTCTTACTTTTTAGGTGATGATGCTTGGATAACTGCTATCAATGACCATTTGAACCTCTTTAACTATGGAAGTATAGAAAAGATGTATGCTGCAGTTTTAAAGCATGTGTTTTGCAGTTCTGTCAAATGTAGGAATGTTGTCTTATTATAGTTACCTTTGTTGCATCCTCACATGATAAACAGTAAGGCCTGTAAAATCTAGCTTATGTTGATGACCAATGCTTAACCAGTTTTAGTGATGTAAAGGCTATTGTTTCATGGGCTAGTGGTTTCAAAACCATGAATGATCTTTACAAATGAGAAGTATTATTTTGCTTACCTTTCCCAGTTCGGTCTTTTTTCAGCTGTGGTATTTTGACAGAAAATGTCCAATTCCCATGTATTTTTTTACAGTTTCCCATTTACTGAATAAAACTCACAGTGCATATTTCTTCTCTTCTTACATTTTTAAAGCAAGGCATGGACGTAGAGAAAGCCAGGGTATTATCAGTTAAGAACATGGTTATAAATATGTGCGTGTTTGTATATACATACACAAATTATTTTTGTTTTGTTTTCCCTGTAAGGTGTCAAGATGTAAAAATTATATATTTTCTTTCTAGTGTCAGTATATTCATACTGTACTATGCCTATTTAATTAAAGGTTGCTTTGCATATAGTATTTTTCTTTTCCATTCTTCATATGTTGCTAGGGACCATAATAAGTTATGCTACAATATCTATGTCTATACCTTCATGTATTTACATGTACTTTTCTATTGCTAAAAAAATACTTTTATCAGTTATTTCATACAGTTTTCACTCTCATACCACTTTTGCCATCAATTTAAAGAAATTTTGCAGATTAAAGATAACTGGAGCACATTTAACAATGAAATTTTTCAATCTCCATTTTCAGATAAAATTAATTAAACTGTTGCCTAAGCAGATAGCGGATGCACTGAGATTGCTGTCTGCTTATCGGCAGCTCCATTTCTGTTTTGTGAATGGGACTGTGAATTAACGGATAAACTTTTTTATATCTGTGGATACGGAAATGAGATAGATGCAGACATTTTCTGCTTACCCGTGAGGTACCATATTTATTTATTGTTTTACTAAAATTACATAAGATTTCCTTTTTAGATGTGGTCAGGAAAAAAGCTAATGTACACGTTAAAACCTTTACTTGGCTATTTAGATGATATTTTATTTTTAGATATTAAATAGGCTAAATTTCCGCTTTATGACATGGCCAATATACACCTGATTATAAAATTAGGACATGCAGAAAGGTGGGGAATTCTGGATAAATTTTTTTAAAAGTGAAGCTGTCAGAAGGAACATTGTATTGTTTTTCTGCTTCATTTTTGGAAATGGGTTTAGAATTTGTTTATAGCTTACTAGGTTTAGCATTATGCTCCATTTATACTCCATATTATTTGGTGAGCTGAATACACTAACACAGACTTTTAACAATAATTAATGTGCCATGTTACTGATTGGTTCTGTACTGTAGGTTCTTTGACACCTGTAAATATATTTGGATAGAGTAGCTATAATAAAATAAGATTAACTTGTGATATAATGACACCTGTTTAAATATACTCCCTTGATGACTTGAATGGTGGATTACATGAATGATGGGACAATATCTCCCCATCTCATATATATCTAAAATAACTGGATATTTACATATGGAAGCATTGTGTGGTCCTTTCTAACAGTTAAAGACTAAAATATTTATATACAGTAGCATTCCATCTATATAACATACCTAGTGTTAGGCTTAAAGATTTAACACTAACACTTTATTTTTCTTTATCTACTTATGAAGAAACTTTATGGGTAAAGGTTTTGTCATTTCCTCTGTGAAAATATTTCAAAATGAAAGCCCAGCACTATTCAGCAGAAAGAGCTTTAAAAAAAATCATATTAACCCATTATAATAGTATTGAAGAGAGTGGATTGGGGGCTACACTTTTTTTACTATTCCAAACATTGCAGCTGTAAATGTCAAATGAAAAGCAAGAAATACTACAATTATATTTTTGCATATACAGCATATTTGTGTGGATAATTGTAGTTGAAGTCTGGTTAAAATTTCTTGTTGAGAGTGCTAACCAGCTTACAATTTGAAAAGCGCAATACAAATAATTTGAATATGTTCTTTCTGACATGCTATATAGTAGGTTTGTTATTTTATTTATTTGAAATATTTCAAATTGAGCAACGAAAAAGCCTTTTTTGTTGTGTTGTTTGTTTTTATTGCTGTGAAAACTCAGCAAGGTAAAACCCAATTTATATTGCTTTTATGTAATATAGAGCGGGTACCCAAGAAAGAAAAGAATATGTTGCAGATGTTGAGGGATAATTCAATATGTAATGTAAGTAATGCGTTAATGAAAGCAAAGTTAGCTTTGAATTTTAATTTACAATACATTAGCTTTAATGTCAGTGTTATGAACATCTTGCCTCTTATTACATGCAGTCACAATAATGTTCATACTTAAGTTCTATTTTATACATAAATTGGTGTTTCTCAATGTCAGGTTTGGACAAAAACATGCAGGTTTTCAGAATCTCGTGTGAACTGTATCAGGAATAAAGAAAAACATGGTGGATTTTTCCCATGGGGAAATAAACCTTGCTTTAGGGATGAGTACTAGAAATCTACTGCTGAAGTCTAAAGAGGGCTTTTTCCTCCATTTGTTTCTTCCATGGAAGCAATAATACAATGATCTCTTCCCAGCCAAATGCCTCTGTCAATATTTTATTGAAAATAGCTATTATCGCTAAAATCAACTTTTTCTAAAACTAAACTGCTACTAAACTCTTGGCTGCAATAGGAAAACCTCAGCAGAACTGAATTGCAAGGATCAGAGGAGTGTGCGTCTTGGGCCAGTATATTGCATTAATGCTTTTAAAAGGTTACAGTTAAAGGGACACTATAGTCACCTGAACAACTTTAGCTTAATGAAGCAGTTTTGGTGTATAGAACATCCCCCTGCAGCCTCACTGCTCAATCCTCTGCCATTTAGGAGTTAAATGTAAGCAAGGAAACTCAGTTCTGCATGCAGTTTTTTTGACTTGGTCACTATAGTTAGGAAACATTGCCAGGTCCTATAGATAAGGACATGGGTCCAGACTCCTGGTAAAGGTAGGAAAACAATGCCATTTATTTCATCAACCCTAGTGGAAAATTGAAGTACAGAAAAAGAAAATATATGGGGGGCAGTAAGAGGAAAGATGATTACGGTTTTCGTTCCACTAAGACATTTACTAAAAGACCATGTTGGATCAAACTAAGATCAAACATTGCACAAAATAAATTAAAATACATTTACATACAACACTATGCAAGGCATAGAAAGAAGAGATGGTGACTGTTTTAAAGAGGAGTTATAATCTTTTACCCAAGGAAAACTCTTAATGTATGTGATATTTAAATCATGTTCTCTCTGCTGAACTGAGTTATGTGTGCCACCATGTTAAAAATGAAAAAAAATAAAAATCTTTCTTTAGATAAGGTCCTTTCATTGCCAATCATTTTTGAGTAGTGAACTGCACTGAGAAATGAGTGATAGGAAAGACCTTTCTCCTAAAGACCTCTGACACAACAGCAGATGTAAATCCACTGTGGTCAATGTGCTTCTTTTTTTTTTTTTTTCTTCTTGTGGAAGTTCTCGTCCGATCTAGACCAATACGATGTAAGAAGGAGTGGGAATTTTAAAGTGAACTTTTCAATATTCATCTGCCAATGGAAATTAATTGACTCAGCACCTTAATCCTTCTTTACTACCCATGTTCCTGCAATTTGTGGCATGTCACGAAAAACTAGGCACCACTAAATTTAATGCACTCCCACCAGGTTTGCAAAGCTATTTTGTCTAAGATGAGCCCACTTTCCATACAACAAGAACAACATTTTGGATTTTTTTCAGGAATTCTGTCCGTAATTCAGTTTTATAAGAAATGCAAAACTCCAAATGTGCATATTCAGTAGGCATCAAGAGCCTTAACCATAAACCCGGTAAAACTTTGAGCCATGCCTGAAATATATAACCTCTAATAGCTTAAAGTTTTGCTGATATGATAAAGATGTGCCCAGCTGCACACACAACTATAACAAATTTCTCATTTCTTTTTTTTTTTTTTTAAACGTCTTTAAACATCCTATTTCGACTGCCTTTGACACCATAAGGTTGTGTGTTACATGATAAAACTTTTTGCTGAAGCACATTATCGCAAACTGCGGGATAGCAGGTTAAAGTGTAACTGAAGCAGGTTTACTGGAGACAGAACTCATGTGTAGAAGGATAGATTCTGTTATCTAAGAAGTCTGTGGTACTGTTACAAACATTAGACACCAGGCAGAAGGCTGTTGTGACCGGAGTGAAAGGTGTTTTGTTTTTGCCTTTTAGTTTTATATGTGATCAAGAAACATTTATCTTAGCACATGATGGATGTCTGTGTTTTGTTTCCCATTATGAGACATAGGCATGGGTATCAGCCCTTTATGAAATCTTTTAAGGCAGATTTATACTGTGTAACATTACGTCATTTATGTACTGACATGTCCATGTTGTATAGAGGTTTGAGAGTGACAAAGCTTTTTGGCAAACTACTTTCAGTAATTGTGCAAGCGTGCAAAGTTCTCTGATGTGTGGCATTTTTCTAATGGGTCTTCTGTGTTGCTTGTATATTGTATTCTCTGCTTTTTTTTTTTTTAATTGCTAGCAGACCTGGGATAAATGTGGTCTAACACCAAGCATTCTGTATTGCCCAGCATTGCTTGGGCTTTTTTTTTTTTTCTTGCTTTATCTAATTAACCATTTACATTATATTTTTTTATTATTTTAAGGGGGATCACAAATGACACCATTGAATGAAACATCACCTATATAAACTTGTGTTAACATTTTTTTCTCACTCTGCTTTCCTATAGATTTACTTTAACGATTTAGCAAAATACATCACAATCTAATTCTGTCCTGGCACAGCCACGGCACATATTGCAAATGAGGAGGAGAAATAGAAATTCTCATTAATGTACACAGACAAATAGTTCTGATTTAAAGGGACAATATAGTCACCTGAAAAACTTTAGCTTAATGAAGCAGTTTTGGTGTATAGAACATCCCCCTGCAGCCTCACTGCTCAATCCTCTGCCATTTAGGAGTTAAATCCCTTTGTTTATGAACCCTAGTCACACCTCCCTGCATGTGACTTGCACAGCCTTCCATAAACACTTCCTGTAAAGAGAGCCCTATTTAGGCTTTCTTTATTGCAAGTTCTGTTTAATTAAGATTTTCTTATCCCCTGCTATGTTAATAGCTTGCTAGACCCTGCAAGAGCCTCCTGTATGTGATTAAAGTTCAATTTAGAGATTGAGATACAATTATTTAAGGTAAATTACATCTGTTTGAAAGTGAAACCAGTTTTTTTCATGCAGGCTCTGTCAATCATAGCCAGGGGAGGTGTGGCTAGGGCTGCATAAACAGAAACAAAGTGATTTAACTCCTAAATGACAGTGAATTGAGCAGTGAAATTGCAGGGGAATGATCTATACACTAAAACTGCTTTATTTAGCTAAAGTAATTTAGGTGACTATAGTGTTCCTTTAACTAATTTTTAAAATGTTATGCCAGATTAATTTATTCTGCCCCCCTCCCTCCCCCATCACCACTTTTTAAATGACCTGAACACAAATCTGATGCGATTAATTTGAATAGAAATAATAGCAGTGTGATGTAGTTGAAGGGTATAAAGTCCCTAGAGGCAAGAAAGGGGTTAAGTCCAGATGACTCGAGGCAGGTCTTGTATGTTCAAAAGACATTCATTCAGAAATGGTTGTCACAGTAACCTGGAGCAGCTGGATTAATTGCACCGGAAACTGATAAATCCCAAGACAAAAATACAATCAGTAAGGCATCATTAATTTAAAGATATCACTGTGTGCATGCTTCAAGTATAGACCTGATATATAGACTTTCTATGCAGAGGAGGTCATGTCCTTTTTAATTAGATGAAACACACATTTTTCTTCTGTCTGAATAACATGGCTTTTTTTTTATAGAGGTTTTCACTAGAAATTTTTATCTATATTATGATTTTTTTCCATTTTAGAATTATAACATATTGGGCTTTCTGTTTCTAAAAACTCCAAGTAAACTTTACTATTGCTTATGTGAAAGTCATAGACTATTATGTTATGTATGACTTTCACACTAAAGCTGAAAAGAGAACCCAGTTGCTGTGTGTGCATTTAAACACAAAAGAGGTGATTTACTAAATAATCTAGTGACAAAAAAGCTGTTCAGTTTTCATGGTATACTTGTCAATCTACATGATAGTTTGCTTTAATTAACGTCCTTTCCACGTGCCTCCCAACATTTCAAATGGACAAAGAGGAACACTTTAATTTTATTGGTGTGAGTGGGGTGTGACCGTGGGTGGGGCTGTTCTGAGAAATGTTAGGTGGCTAGGTACCACCTAGATATTTGTTTGTAGTAAGTCTCTCGAATGGCCAAACTAATTAAAGAGTACTGAAAGGGAACACACATTTTGGGCCATTGGTTCTCAGAAAGGGCTGTCCCCAAATAATCACCGTAAGTTTGGGAGAGCGACATTTAGTAATGGGTGGATATCCCCATCTGTAAGCAACTATTGTCTTTGCAAAAGGTTGCGAAGCTAGTAAGGGCTAGCTTGACTCTTTTGCTTGACTCTAAGTGAGGTATAATAATGCTGAATTTGGCATGGACAAACCTATCCAATAGAGTGACACATTTACCCTCAAATAGAGATTCCAGTGAAGTAACTCCTGCAGGGGAACTAACAACAGACAAGCAATCGAGGACTCCTAACCAAAACCGCCAAAGAGGATGGGCAGAGACCAGTGGGAAAGCCTGGGTTGTGAGCGAGAGGTAGTAAGGTGCCCAGGTACGTGGTCAACCCATGCCTATGTCTGCATGAAAACCACACGGCCAGTGTATCCAGTACAAACAAATTATGGAAGAATTCTGGAGGCACATAAGACCACGCCAGCTAAACCAGGAGTGGTAACATAGGCTTCGAATCAGTCAATTCCAGATTTATCCAGTAAGGGGTATTTCGTTGGACTTGCAAGTCTGTTATGCAGAGTAATTAAATGGCATAAGAATACAACTTCAAAGATGGGGGCCCCACTCCCCTTAAGTGCTTTGGTATCCTCAGAACCTGTAATTTCAATCTAGGGACATACTCACTCCAAATAAATAACCACAAAGTGGAATCTGAAGAGGAATAATATGGCAGGAGAAGTTTAATCAATATCATCTACATAAAGTGGAAGATACCAGGGTGAAGGTTCATCTTTACCGCATGTAGACAGCTGGACCATGGAACATACATTTTAGTGTAGGCCCATGAATCAAACTCAACTGAACAAAGAAGAGGGACAAAATATCTAGCATAAAGTTACTCAAGCCCCCATTTTGGCTTTATTTTGACAAGCCATACTCTTGATTTAAAGCAGCCCTATTTTTTTTATTATTTTTATTTTAATGAAAACTAGGTGTTCTGAAAAAGAAAAAAGATTTTCAGACACTGAATTTGTGGGTTTAGATCAACTTTACATTTTGCAGTACATACTTTGTGTATTTATTTATTTTTAATCCAGACTACTTCAAACTTTATAAGTTATTTTTATTCCCTCTTCAGAATTTAGGGAATGAATAAAATGTTAGGCATTATGTGTAAATAACAGTTCAAGAGCAAAGTTATATCAGTGAAGCAATCACCTAGAAGATAAATGAAATGATTCCTCAAATTGCTCCGCATTTAGAACTTTGTCAAATAGTTGTTCATTGTATATAATGTCGTTGTTTGTTTGTGGATGGCCAAAGATAAATTTCATGTCATGGAGGCATATGCAGAATCTATTAAAACAGGACAATTAACAGTGTGACAAGGACGGTTTTGTAGGGACAGTGCTCAGCTCAGCTGCCAGACTCAAATTTGAAAAACACAAAACTGTGCTTGAGGGTATATGCATTTTGTACTCCCTCCCCATAGACTATTGCCATTACTTGTAGTATCCTCCGTTATGCATCTAAAGTCATCTGAGAATTTATTAAATGGTAGTTCCTCCTAAAAACAAACATTAAATTTTTTTAAATTTAAATTGAAGTGTATTGAAATCCAAATGGCAAAATAAACTTATTTAAAAAATGCTTTGTCACATCTTGCCTATATTAGCATACATTTTGCCTTTCATATTTACACTTGCTATCGTTTGGAGAAGAGGGAGGAAAACCTTAGTCAATATGTATTATCAAAAGAACTCCATACATTTGTTATGCTACATAGTACATAAAAAGTATTCAAATTTATACTAACTACCCACTCCCATGAGTGTGGTGGATACAGGCACACCTTTTGGTTATGGTTTGAATGCTCATGTCAGTGCTTCCAGAGTGCAAGTGTTGTATATTCATCTATCTCATCTTCAAGCATGCAAATAAGATTATTGCCAGCATATATACAGTTGCAAGAAAAAGGATGTGAACCCTTTGGAATGATATGGATTTCTGTACAAATTGGTAATAAAATGTGATCTGATCATCATCATCTAAGTCACAACAATAGACAATCACAGTCTGCTTAAACTAATAACACCCATTATTGAACACACCATGTAAACATTCACAGTGCAGGTGGAAAAGGTATGTGAACCCTTGGATTTAATAACTGGTTGAACCTCCTTTGGCAGCAATAACTTCAACCAAACGTTTCCTGTAGTTGCAGATCAGGCGTGCACAACGGTCAGGAGTAATTCTTGACCATTCCGCTTTACAGAACTGTTTCAGTTCAGCAATATTCTTGGGATGTCTGGTGTGAATCGCTTTCTTGAGGTCATGCCACAGCATCTCAATCGGGTTGAGGTCAGGACTCTAACGGGGCCACTTCAGAAGGCGTATTTTCTTCTGTTTAAGCCATTCTGTTGTTGATTTACTTCTATGCTTTGGGTCATTGTCCTGTTGCAACACCCATCTTCTGTTGAGCTTCAGCTGGTAGACAGATGGCCTTACGTTCTCCTGCAAAATGTCTTGATAAACTTGGGAATTCATTTTTCCTTCGATGATAGCAATCTGTCCAGGCCCTGAAGCAGCAAAGCAGCCCCAAACCATGATGCCCCCACCACCATACTTCACAGTTGGGATGAGGTTTTGATGTTGGTGTGCTGTGCCTTTTTTTCGCCACACATAGTGTTGTGTGTTTCTTCCAAACAACTCAACTTTGGTTTCATCTGTCCACAGAATATTTTGCCAGTACTGCTGTGGAACATCCAGGTGCTCTTGTGCAAACTGTAAACGTGCAGCAGTGTTTTGTTTGGACAGCAGTGGCTTCCTCTGTGGTATCCTCCCATGAAATCCATTCTTGTTTAGTGTTTTACGTATTGTAGATTCGCTAACAGGGATGTTAGCATTTGCCATTGATTTTTGTAGGTCTTTAGCTGACACTCTAGGATTCTTCTTCACCTCATTGAGCAGTCTGCGCTGTGCTCTTGCAGTCATCTTTACAGGACGGCCACTCTTAGGGAGAGTAGCAGCAGTGCTGAACTTTCTCCATTTATAGACAATTTGTGTTACCGTGGACTGATGAACAGCAAGGCTTCCAGAGATACTTTTATAACCCTTTCCAGCTTTATGCAAGTCAACAATTAATCGTAGGTCTTCTGAGAGCTCTTTTCTGCGAGGCATCATTCACATCAGGCAATGCTTCTTGTGAAAAGCAAACCCAGAACTGGTGTGTGTTTTTCATAGGGCAGGGCAGCTGTAACCAACACCTCCAATCTCATCTCATTGATTGGACTCCAGTTGGCTGACATCTCACTCCAATTAGCTCTTGGAAAATTTCATTAGTCTAGGGGTTCACATACTTTTTCCACCTGCACTGTGAATGTTTACATGGTGTGTTCAATAAAAACATGGCAACATTTCATTCTTTGTGTGTTATTAGTTTAAGCAGACTGTGATTGCCTTTTGTTGTGACTTAGATGATGATCAGATGACATTTTATCACCAATTTGTGCAGAAATCCATATCATTCCAAAGGGTTCACATACTTTTTCTTGCAACTGTACATATGTGGCCCATATGCAGCCTCAACCACCCATGCATACAAGGTGATCAGTTATAAAGGATATGTGGGTGACTGACGTTTTCAATACTCTATATGTTTGCCAACTGTTTTAACAGAAAAAAATTGTGAATTCTGAATAAATCATTTATAAACCAGGTGTTGCAGCATTCATTTTATATTAAATTGTAACAATTTAAAAAAAACATTTGTTGTGAATTTCAGGAAACAGAATCTGAAGCGAAGACAGATGGAGAGACGGCCTCAGATTGTGAAAGTAAGACAGACACTGGGGGGACCCTGCAAGGGACTCCTACTGATGACACACCAGAGGTCCTCAATCGGGCTCTGTCAAACATGTCATCCAGGTAACGTTTTGCACCATCTTGCTGACATCACAAATATTATAGCTCACTTTTATATAGTTGACACCTTCATATGCTGTAAATCATTGCATTATAGGCCTTCAAGTCTATTGGCTTTGATGACACTATGAAAGCACAACCAATGGATAGAATCTGAGAATAGACACAAAAAAAATATTGTGGAAGATCAGATATAAGTAAGCGTTCAGGATGATGGAAAAGTGAGGAACAGCAACGGTTTGATAAAAAAAAAGAGCATTCAGAGGTGGATTATGGGTTTCAAACTGCTGTAATAGTTTTGTAACTGTAGGGTCATACTATATTTTATAAATATAAATATATATGCTTCCAATATTATATGCTTTCAATATCTGCTATATAAAAAAGTTGGCCACTAAGGAATTGAGTAAATTAAATTGTGTATAGCTCTGTGAACATTACCAAAAACTCAATGCAAATAGATATTTCCCAATACAAGAGCATCCTTCGTATTGTTAATATGTTGCAAATGTTCGCTGACTGGTTCTCTGTGGCTGACTGCTCTGTAAGCAGATTAGTAAAATCACTGTTGTTGCTAGATGCATCTGGCAGAATCTCCAATGAATTGTTGTTTGGGGGAGGGGGGACTATTTTTCTGATGGTTAGTGAAAAGCCTTAAAGGAACACTCTAACATTAAAAATATATTGTTAAGCTTACTGCCCCCCTTTGTTAAAAAAAAAAAAAAAAAAGTTTACAAAAGTTATTAAATTTACCTGTAATCCAGACCCGAGACAGTCCCTCACCCATATGAGATTGGCAATTCTGGTTGTGTCTGGCCTTATCAAATGGGTCTTATTGAGTTGCATGGAGGATCTTTGTGCATGTGTACTGCAATCGCCGCACTCCAATCCAGTATTTTGAAGATCTTAAGCAGGGGTGGATCTATGGGGGACATCAGGGCAAGTCGTCGTCCTCCATCCCAAGAAGCCAGCTTATATGTGCAGATACATCTTTTATCTATATATTACAGCAGCAGTGTTTTTTTGTTTAAATCATAGCACCTAGTTCAGCTGCTGCCCACATTTCCTCCTCCCTACCGTGGCCATAATACAATGGGGGTTATCGCCCTGCAGTCCCCTCTCAGGTTCTCCAACTAGAGCAGCATTCTGACTAGCTGCAGGAAACAAAGCCAACACCTAAGCTCTGCCCCTTAGCTTCAACCAGGTGGTCTAGCTGGCAGGACAGTTCTGCGGAGCATTCATGGGGCAACTTCTAGCTCTCCACCCACTGCAAGAGGTAAGTGACAGTCATTTTGTTAGTGTTAGTGCAAATAATCTACCAGTGCCCCTGCCGACATTAGGTTCTGGAACCACCCCTGATCTTAAAGGACCACTATAGGCACCCAGACCACTTCAGCTTAATGAAGTGGTCTGGGTGCCAGGTCCTTCTAGGGTTAACCCTTTTTTTTTTTTTATAAACATAGCAGTTTCAGAGAAACTGCTATGTTTATGTTAGGGTTAATCCAGCCTCTAGTGGCTGTCTCTTGACAGCCGCTAGAGGCGCTTGCGTGCTTCTCACTGTGATTTTCACAGTGAGAAGACGCCTGCGTCCATAGGAAAGCATTGTGAATGCTTTCCTATGGACTGGCTGAATGCGCGCGCAGCTCCTGCCGCGCATGTGCATTCAGCCGAAGAGGACGAGAGGAAGAGGAGAGCTCCCCGCCCGGCGCTGGAGAAAGAGGTAAGTTTAACCCCTTCCCCTCCATCCAGCCCGGCGGGAGGGGGTCCCTTAGGGTGGGGGCACCCTCAGGGCACTATAGTGCCATGAAAACGAGTATGTTTTCCTGGCACTGTAGTGGTCCTTTAAGGAAGAAAGGCCTCTAGTGGCTGTCTGTCTGTCAGTCACAAGATGCATTATCTCTGCCAAATGTGAACATTGCTGATTCTCAGAAATATAAATATTTTAAATTGTCCAGGAAAAGGTACAGCATCATTTAAGATGTAATGTATTTTGTGCTTAGATTTTCCTGTTAGTTTGGTGTGGCTGCCTTGCTCATATTTTCCAGACATCTATAAATTCCACATGCTGTTGGGAGTACAGTTACAATTATATACATAGTGCCAACATATTCTGCAGCGCTGTGCAACAGGTAAACAAAACAGATACTAAATTGTAACAAAACATGATTGACATACTGGAACTGTAGATGAAGGGGACCCTGCTCAAACGAGCTTACAATCTACAGGTGCATAAAAAGTGCTACCCGGCTAGAAGAGGGGGTTTTATCAGAGTCTATACCGATGTCTAAACTACAATTGGATGAATACTTACAAAAATAAAATATTCAGGGATATAAATTGAAATTAGTGTGGTAATAGCTTCATGATCCACGGCCATTCTGGGGTCAAGAAGGAATTTTTTCCTAGTTTGTTGCAAAATTGGAAGTGCTTCAAATAGGTTTTTTTGCCTTCTTTTGGATCAACAGCAAAAACAGATATGAGAAAACCTGAACTTTTATAGACACGTCTCTTTTCAGCTATGTATTTACGTAAATACATAATATGTGATAGGTTGTTGATCCAAAGAGAAATTTATTTATAGAGTCAAGAAGTAAATTATTTTCCAATTTTTGTAGCATAATTGGCTTTCGCTTCAAATTGGGTGGTGTTTCTTTGGAATGATTGAAAGAACAGCATAGGAGGATGTGTTGTAAAGGCTGAACATGAAGCACTATATTTTAACGTATAGGATGAAAAATATAATTAACCCGGAAATGTAAAATGTTAACCCAAAAAGTGTCTGAGAATTTGTCCACTTTGTAATTGACTATGAAATTCAAAATTTAAGGTCGAAATTGCTGGACAGCACCCGTTTGGTTACGAACATGGCTAAATCGTTTTATTTATTTAATTTTGAATCAGAAATAATTTTTGGATTTGTATATGATTTTGTACAATATTAAAATTTTCACATGAGCTGTATCACAAATGCTTGTTTTAGAATTTGGAATGTTAAGACAAACACTGCCTTTAACCTGCTGTAATTTTCATATGAACCTTTTTCTTTTGTGCTCTGGAAAATGTTTGCTACTTCCTGACGGAAGTACTTATCTCCCATCTCCAAAATTAGATCCCCTTGTGTATTCCTTATTCTGCACAGTGTAACATTATAAACAGGCAGCTTAATTTCCTTTTAAAAGACTGTGAACTTTTAAAACCATATTAAACAACAGTAGGTGGCTAATTGTGAAAAAACTTCAGTGAGTAAATCCAGCTCCAGTAATTCACAAACAAAATATTTAAATGTATTTTAAACTTGCATTCAAGAATTAGAATTTATGTTTATGTCAATGATTTTCTTTACTGATAGTTTTAGCATTTCAAAGCAGCTCCAGTGTGTTGAGCTATACAAAAGAGAGATAATGTAAGTGAGGAAATAAATGATTATTCCACAAAGTAACACACATATAAATAGCAGGATGTGCATGTAAAAGAGAAAATTAAGAATCCATGATACTATAGTATAGATTATTGAATTCTTGCACACCAAAGTGTAAAATTTACAGGATTGCAATCTTGCTAGCGGAATCCTATGTGACAGTATTTCTGTAACTATCAGAACCTAGCTCTCACACTCACCTACCTCACGCTCCCAAGCCGCGTCTCTCTTTCACTCCACGAGGACGCCGTGTCGGAGAGCGACCCTCCAGGTCGGTTCAATCACCCACACCGACTGCTCACGTTCATGCGAATGGCACCTCTGTTCGCATGAACGGCACTTACCCAATACAGAAGAAAGGACTCCATGCGAATGAACGCCACCTCATGCGAATGCTACTCACCTATACTGCAGACAGAACTCCGTTTGTACGGACGCCGGCTTCCGAACACAGCACGAACAGAAGTCTGTTCATAGGAACACCACTGCTTCCATGTACGTCCACACAGAAAGTAGTACTTCAGGAGAATCAAAGGGAACGTGCGCCCCGACACAGAGCCATTTAAAGGTACATTAGGTGGAGACCAGGGTGGAACCTCAATTAAGAAGACCACACATTTACCCTATTTAACCCCTTAAGGACCAAACTTCTGGAATAAAAGGGAATCATGACACGTCACACATGTCATGTGTCCTTAAGGGGTTAAGTAGCACACACCCTTCACTCTTCGCTCAGTTGTACTGTGCTCCTGATTGTGCAAAGACTTTCAGAGACTCTCCTGTTGTATCCTGATCCTGTTCCTGATTTTGACCCTTGCCTATATTATCGCTTCTGAATCTGTGCCGCCTGTCCTGACCTTTGGCTTCCCCGACTATTCTCTTTGTCTGATCTTTTGGTACTGTGAGCTTGGTTCATTGCCTTCAACATCTATCTGCATCTAGGGCTCTGACAACTAAACTGTGTTCCCAACAGTAACAGTGTAATCAACAAAAGGTTTACTAACTCATGATCATAAATGAAGTGAAAAGAAAATTGATAGAATGTATTAAAACAGTCTATTTCGCATAGAAAACGTGTGTACTCACACTATAACAACAACCTAAACCTGCCATAAGAACATATAATTATAATATCACTAACCACTTGCAAGAAATCTCCAGAACCACTTGCAAGGGTTCTTTCCTCTGCATTTTCATCTGAAGAAATACTGATTCTGGGAATTGAAGCAAAGAGTAATTCCAGAAAAGCAAAGTCCATTTTTGCTGTTCTTAATCTGTAAGCTTTGAGCTTTTTTGCAGCTGCTTCCCTGTTCACTCCTGGATTGCCACCAATAGCTAGATGGCATTGCCAATAGTCTTTCTATGTTCCGCCGCAAAACTATGGTCTTGATTTAATATTGTTTGATAAGCTTTCCTAATGACTTAGAATTTTGGATAAACTTTTTTTATATCAAATGATTAAATATAAAATAATAGATTAAAATATTACATTACAAAATGTTAATTATTTTCATAATATTAAATAATGTTTAAAGTTTTTCAAACAATATATAAAATCATCTGGAAAGCTTTTCCAACAATATTACATATAGGCCTATATTATAATAGTTTGATCTAACTCTAAGACTTTAAAGAAAAGGGAAAAGAAAGCAACTATGAAATCTTCAATCATAATACCATACAGACAAAATGTTGCAATGACATAGAACCCAATGTTTCAGCACTGTAAGATGTAAATATTCCAATCTCCAGTGGCAGGCAATGCCCTGATCATGTGAAGACCAAAAAAAAAAACCCCACCCTTTCTCATTTTGAGTTGTGAGTATATTTGTTAGAAAAAATAAAAACAAACAAATTATTTAAATTTGTGAGGAGAAAAAAATAATAAAAACTGCATTACTTTCTTTTTTGCTAGTGGTCTGTGTTACTAAGCAAGTTTGGGGAATGTATATCCTCAGGATGAGGAGAAACCCCAAATTGGTCCAGTCTTCTATTGATCAGACTTTAAAGGTGAAACCGGATATAACGCATTTTCTTACACTATAGGCTATATTTAAAAGCATATAAAAATCCTCCAGTGATACTTATCAAATTTACAGCAACCTTTTTAGAAACAGTATGGCCATTTGCATTTTCACTTATTTTGTTAATTTATTTTGGTGAATCTAAGGATAGCTAACACATTTTATTTTTATTTGGAACACTTAGTTATTTCTCAAACTTTACCTTTTTGAAATGTAATTTGTTTAGCCTGCTTTTCTCTTAAGATTAATCTACTTCCAGCATTATCCAGGTTTAATTATTTTACGTCTTGTTTTTGGTTTTAGGTGGAAGAATTGGTGGATTAGAGGCATCCTTACACTTGCTATGATCTCCTTTTTCTTTTTCATCATCTACTTGGGACCAATTGTGCTTATGATGATTGTAAGTTTTGAAATGAGAGTTGGATGAGTACTATATTTGTGGACTTTGCTAATGGGACTAGGTGATGGTTATTAACAGCACATTTACACCTTCTCTTCTGCAGGTGATGTGTGTGCAAATCAAGTGTTTTCAGGAAATTATCATGATCGGTTACAATGTCTACCATTCCTATGATCTGCCCTGGTTTCGCACGCTCAGTTGGTAAGTATTGAGTTTATTGGTATATGTATGACCGGTTAGGTGAAATATATGAAATAATATTGTTTAATTGTAGGATGAGGGGAGCCATATTGTTTTACACTATGCATTTGTTGTAAACTACATAATCTCAGGAAAAGCTCAAAGGTGCTGATATAAAAGGTTTTCCCCCTGTATCTTGTGGAAATAGAGTAAATTTAGTTTTCCAGAACAATAAAATATAAAAACGCTAAGCACCAAAACGTTATCTTCTTGAAGTAGTTTTAGTGTATAGATCATGCCCCTGCAGGCTCTCTGCTCAATTCTCTGTCATTTCAAGGTAAATCACTTTGTTTATGCAGCACTAGCCACACCTTCCCTAGCTGTGATTCACTTACCCTCCCTTCACACATCCTTAATAAGAGCCAAAGTTCTGATGCTTCCTTATTGCACAGTATGGTTAATAATCTCGTATGTCTTGCTCCATTATTGTCCTTTTAGAGCTTGCAGCATCCTCCTGGGTGTGATTGAAGTTTAAATAACAGAGCAGAAGATGAGATCTTCTAACGTAAATTAAACAAACTATGTTGTAAGATCTGATTGAAAATGTAACCATTTTTTCATGCAGGCGGTGTCAGTTACAGTCAAGGGAGGTGTGGCTAGGGCTGCATAAACAGAAACAAAAGTGATCTTCTAACGGCACCCCCAGGCAAAAAAGGGGTTAAAAGCCGGAACCAAAAAGTATGCATCACATTCACATACACTTACATTTTCAGAATCAGCATACTCCAAATACAAACATACGTCAAAATCATACAAATTGGTCCAGTGGTTCAAAAGATAGATCGTAGTCCTTTGTGACCAAATGAAGCATGGCTTTTCTGCCCAAAACCAGTTCCACAGAGTCTTCTATCCTGGAGATAATTAGGAAGTAATCCAATTATCTCCAAGGACAGAGGCAAAACTCCATTGAACACATGGCAGCAAAAGACAATAAAATACATAAAAATATATAACTGTGCAGCCATTGCATAAAACAGGTACATTCAACATATCCCCAGATAGCTCAGATCTGAGCGCACATTATTACTGAATGGCGTTCAGATCACACACATACAGTTCAATTGCCATTGAGCCAAAGTCTTTCCCATAGTCTTTCATTATACGAATGGGCTCCAAGGCATAGCTGTCAGGATTACTGTTTGATCCAGCACGTAGAACTGTACAGCACGGATGACAAATAAGTAACGTATTACCGGTCCTTAGAATGGCCGGATTTAACATACAAAGAATAGTCAAAAATACTAGCCGAGGTCAGGGAACACAGAAAGGGACACAGCGATGAGGAAGGCCAGGAGTCAGGATACCAGAATATAGAGAAGTCAATAAACAAAGCCAAAGTCAAAAACCAGGTAGAAAACTATAAACAGGAACGCGCTCTCAGACAACCACAAGGGAAACCACGACAGGGCACTCAGCAGGCTGAGAACTGGGCCTAAATACCCCTCCTTTAGTTCTGATAGGCTGTAACCGGCCTTTGACCCCAAAGTCAGTTACCAGGTTTCATTTGCATAATTGCTGCTCAACATTAACCCTTCTATGGATTAGGTTGCTGCTCGGCACAACTTTTCCTGTGTGGACAGTAAATGTCATTAATCACTTTTCTCTAAGCGGATGAATACATGACACCAGGTTTCATTTGCACAATTACTGCTCAGCATTAACCCCTCTGTGGATTAGGTTGCTGCTCGGCACAACTTTTCCTGTGTGGACAGTAAATGTCATTAACCACATTTCTATAAGCGGATGAATATGTGACAATAGCTATCTGAGGTATCACCGCTCAAACAGGGCAAGCACCGAATGACCCGGCTTTCGAGTCTTTGCAGGGGAAAATCAAGCGTTTCAACATGGGGCCATAGTCTAAAGGCAGCAGGCGGGCAACCAGGCTCCTCCAATGCACAGTGGCGAGATTGGTCTTGTCACAGATCTAATGCCTAAATGAGAGAGATTTGAGCAGTGAGACTGCTGGCCCATGATGTATACACCAAAACTGCTTCATTAAGCCAGATGTTGTTTTGGTGCTTTGAATATTCCTACAAATGCAGTTTATATATATATATATATATATATATATAGAGCGCTTTCAAAAGACTATTCAGCCTTTCGGTGCTACTAAAGTGAACAAGTTGTTCCAATAAATTGTATTACTTCATTGCCATTTGTATTCTACAGGTACTTTCTGCTGTGTGTGAATTACTTTTTCTATGGAGAGACTGTCACGGATTACTTTTTCACACTGGTCCAGCGAGAGGAACCCTTGAGAATTCTCAGCAAATACCATCGCTTCATCTCCTTTGCTTTCTATCTAATCGGTAAATTCTGTTAATGTTTCCCTTCTGGGTTTTTCCTTGATTGTGTTTCATTATTATGTATAAGGCTTGAATGTTTCTTTGTTCTGAGAACTACTTTCTGGAATTGGCAGTTCCCTTTTCCTTTACCCATGGCAGCATGTACTAAAATAAAGAGTACACTTCAGGCATTTTGCATTTCATGTTCAGGGTGATATCTTTGACAACAATTCCATTTTAAATATTGCATGCAGTGCAATTATGCAGGTTTTATAATTTCTTTCCAAACAACACTTTCAGGTAATTGCTCCAACGCAATTACAGAATAGTGCAAACTGATCGAACGCCCGCCTAGAGAACAGGTTGAATAATGGAACATAATGGGATGATTTAGTATTTTAGTTGCTAAACATTCTGCTAGAATGAAAGATCACATGTCCCAATATAGTAGCCTGAGTCATAACATCCAATATACTGCCTAAGAGCAAACTTTAAATCGATATATGATTGGAATCATTATCTGTTCTGCTATTTGTGTAGCAGGATTTCGGGGATGCAAACATAAGTGATCGTTCCTGATGCATTCATTTGCTATGTCACCACTGTGCAGTCATATACCACAGTCATTGTACTGCAGTTATTTACATGTACTTTGTAACTCACGTACACATTTTTGAGAGAGAAAAAAAACAATTTGTTGCTATGAATTTGGCGGAAATTGTGTCATTTCAGGTTCTGTAGATTATATCCGGAGAATATATCTGCAAAAAGGGCAGTGCTTTTAAAAGAGCACATTTACTTATAAGGCTTGCTGCATTCAGCACATATTAATGTGAGCCTATCACATTTCAGCTTTGTGACATGTTTTAGAAAGTTTCAGACATTCACTTCCTGTCAGGAAGTTAAACGGTACAGGTGTATGCCCACGTGTTTGGTTTTCTCTCACTCAAATAGTAAACGTTATGTATAATGTCTGCACCAATATTTTTCATCGTCTGTGCCGCATCTTTCCTATTTGAGCCCTTCATGACCGATTATTCCTCACCTCTTTTTCATTGTGGGTCTGTCAAAGAAAAGATGCCCTGTTTTCTAACTGTAAGACTTTAAAGGGGAAATAAATAAATAAATAAAGCTACTATGAAATCTACAATCATAATACCATCTGTAGACATAATGTAGCTCTGAAAGAGAACACAATGCCTCAGAACAATAAGGTGTAAATGTTACAGCCTCCAGTGGTAGACAGTGCCCTGATCATGTGAAGACAAAAAAAAAAAAAATACTCTCATTTTGAGTTGTGAGTATATTGAGTGGCACATTTTCTGAAACAGATCTTCCATTTTCATTAAGGAATTAAAAAAAAAAAGCACTTTGCAATTATGGAAATTGGGACATTCCACGGTGAAGAATCCCCTGCTCAATTGAGCTTACAATCTATGAGAATTTTAGGTAGGCGTATATTTAATGTTGGATTTCTTACCCAAGGTCACTTACTGGTAAGGGTCTAAGGCATTACCAGTCAGTATGATCTGGGGAAAAAGGGAGCAAAAATTCTGAAAAATAAATAATAAATGGCAGAAAGATGGATTATTTTTTCTCACTACAGAAAAAGGCAGAATAAAAAAAAAATCCTCAATGTATAAAGGTGCACAGTGAATATGACATTAATTATACATAACTTCCTATGTTTAATGATGTGCTGATGAGGATATTGTTCTGTGTTTATTTATATGCTGATGAGTATACGGTTCTGGGTGATCAGAATATGGTTCTGTGCCTGTTCCCACGCAGATCGGGATATGGTTCTGTGCCTGTTCCCTCACTGATCAGGATATGGTTCTGTGCCTGTTCCCACGCTGATCAGGATATGGTTCTGTGCCTGTTCCCACACTGATCAGGATATGGTTCTGTGCCTGTTCCCTCACTGATCCGGATATGGTTCTGTGCCTGTTCCCTGTTCCCACACTGATCAGGATATGGTTCTGGGCCTGTTCCCACACTGATCAGGATATGGTTCTGGGCCTGTTCCCACACTGATCAGGATATGGTTCTGTGCCTGTTCCCACACTGATCAGGATATGGTTCTGTGCCTGTTCCCACACTGATCAGGATATGGTTCTGTGCCTGTTCCCACACTGATCAGGATATGGTTCTGTGCCTGTTCCCGCACTGATCAGGATTTGGTTCTGTGCCTGTTCCCGCACTGATCAGGATTTGGTTCTGTGGCTGTTCCCATACTGATCAGGATATGGTTCTGTGCCTTTTCCCAAACTGATCAGGATATGATTCTGTGTCTGTTCCCACACTGATCAGGATATGTTTCTGTGCCTGTTCCCACACTGATCAGGATATGGATCTGTGCCTGTTCCCACACTGATCAGGATATGGATCTGTGCCTGTTCCCACACTGATCAGGATATGGATCTGTGGCTGTTCCCATACTGATCAGGATATGGTTCTGTGCCTTTTCCCAAACTGATCAGGATATGATTCTGTGCCTGTTCCCACACTGATCAGGATATGTTTCTGTGCCTGTTTCCACACTGATCAGGATATGGATCTGTGCCTGTTCCCACACTGATCAGGATATGGTTCTGTGCCTGTTCCCTCACTGATCAGGATTTGGTTCTGTGCCTTTTCCCACACTGATCAGGATATGGTTCTGTGCCTCTTCCCTCACTGATCAGGATTTGGTTCTGTGCCTTTTTCCACACTGATCAGGATATGGTTCTGTGCCTTTTCCCACACTGATCAGGATATGGTTCTGTGCCTTTTCCCACACTGATCAGGATATTGTTCTGTGCCTGTTCCCTCACTGATCAGGATATGGCTCTGTGCTTGTTTCTATACTGTTCAGGATATGGTTCTGTTCCCACGCTGATCAAGTTATGTTCTGTGCCTATTTCTACACTGTTCAGGATATGGTCTTGGGTCTGTTCTCCTGCTGATCAGGATGTGGTTCTAGATTTGTTTCTCTGCTGATCAGGATATGGTTCTGTGCCTGTTCCTACACTGATTAGGATATGGTTCTGTGCATGTTCCCTCACTGATCAGGATATGGTTCTGTGCCTGTTGCCACACTGATCAGGATATGGTTCTGTGCCTGTTCCCACACTGATCAGGATATGGTTCTGTGCCTGTTCCCGCACTGATCAGGATTTGGTTCTGTGCCTGTTCCCGCACTGATCAGGATTTGGTTCTGTGGCTGTTCCCACACTGATCAGGATATGGATCTGTGCCTTTTCCCACACTGATCAGGATATGGTTCTGTGCCTGTTCCCACACTGATCAGGATATGGTTCTGTGCCTGTTCCCTCACTGATCAGGATATGGTTCTGTGCCTGTTCCCACACTGATCAGGATATGGTTCTGGGCCTGTTCCCACACTGATCAGAATATGGTTCTGTGCCTGTTCCCGCACTGATCAGGATTTGGTTCTGTGCCTGTTCCCGCACTGATCAGGATTTGGTTCTGTGGCTGTTCCCATACTGATCAGGATATGGTTCTGTGCCTTTTCCCAAACTGATCAGGATATGATTCTGTGTCTGTTCCCACACTGATCAGGATATGTTTCTGTGCCTGTTCCCACACTGATCAGGATATGGATCTGTGCCTGTTCCCACACTGATCAGGATATGGATCTGTGCCTGTTCCCACACTGATCAGGATATGGATCTGTGGCTGTTCCCATACTGATCAGGATATGGTTCTGTGCCTTTTCCCAAACTGATCAGGATATGATTCTGTGCCTGTTCCCACACTGATCAGGATATGTTTCTGTGCCTGTTTCCACACTGATCAGGATATGGATCTGTGCCTGTTCCCACACTGATCAGGATATGGTTCTGTGCCTGTTCCCTCACTGATCAGGATTTGGTTCTGTGCCTTTTCCCACACTGATCAGGATATGGTTCTGTGCCTGTTCCCTCACTGATCAGGATTTGGTTCTGTGCCTTTTTCCACACTGATCAGGATATGGTTCTGTGCCTTTTCCCACACTGATCAGGATATGGTTCTGTGCCTTTTCCCACACTGATCAGGATATTGTTCTGTGCCTGTTCCCTCACTGATCAGGATATGGCTCTGTGCTTGTTTCTATACTGTTCAGGATATGGTTCTGTTCCCACGCTGATCAAGTTATGTTCTGTGCCTATTTCTACACTGTTCAGGATATGGTCTTGGGTCTGTTCTCCTGCTGATCAGGATGTGGTTCTAGATTTGTTTCTCTGCTGATCAGGATATGGTTCTGTGCCTGTTCCTACACTGATTAGGATATGGTTCTGTGCATGTTCCCTCACTGATCAGGATATGGTTCTGTGCCTGTTGCCACACTGATCAGGATATGGTTCTGTGCCTGTTCCCACACTGATCAGGATATGGTTCTGTGCCTGTTCCCGCACTGATCAGGATTTGGTTCTGTGCCTGTTCCCACACTGATCAGGATATGGTTCTGTGCCTGTTCCCGCACTGATCAGGATTTGGTTCTGTGCCTGTTCCCGCACTGATCAGGATTTGGTTCTGTGGCTGTTCCCACACTGATCAGGATATGGATCTGTGCCTTTTCCCACACTGATCAGGATATGGTTCTGTGCCTGTTCCCACACTGATTAGGATATGGTTCTGTGCCTGTTCCCTCACTGATCAGGATATGGTTCTGTGCCTGTTCCCACACTGATCAGGATATGATTCTGTGCCTGTTCCCACACTGATCAGGATATGGTTCTGTGCCTGTTCCCACACTGATCAGAATATGGTTCTGCGCCTGTTCCCGCACTGATCAGGATTTGGTTCTGTGGCTGTTCCCATACTGATCAGGATATGGTTCTGTGCCTTTTCCCAAACTGATCAGGATATGATTCTGTGCCTGTTCCCACACTGATCAGGATATGTTTCTGTGCCTGTTCCCACACTGATCAGGATATTGATCTGTGCCTGTTCCCACACTGATCAAGATATGGTTCTGTGCCTGTTCCCTCACTGATCAGGATTTGGTTCTGTGCCTTTTTCTAACTGATCAGGATATGGTTCTGTGCCTTTTCCCACACTGATCAGGATATGGTTCTGTACCTTTTCCCACACTGATCAGGATATTGTTCTGTGCCTGTTCCCTCACTGATCAGGATATGGCTCTGTGCTTGTTTCTATACTGTTCAGGATATGGTTCTGTTCCCACGCTGATCAAGTTATGTTCTGTGCCTATTTCTACACTGTTCAGGATATGGTCTTGGGTCTGTTCTCCTGCTGATCAGGATGTGGTTCTAGATTTGTTTCTATGCTGATCAGGATATGGTTCTGGGTCTGCATCAATGCTGATGAGAATATGTGTCTGCTGCCACCGTTACTTAGCAGATTTTTGTGATGACCTGGTTGTTTAGTCTGAGTTACCTTCTGCACTACAGTCCTCCCACATACTTATGAGTTTTTTCTTAATAGTCAAGACCTTTTCAGTGGTGGATTTGAGGGGGTTAGTGATGACTGCGTGCTAGCAAAAAAAACATCTATTTCATTTTTGCTAGGTTCTGAAACTTTAGCAGTACCTGTTATTGTGCCTATGATGAAAAGAATCTCCCTATATTGCATGATATTCAACAATCCTCAAAGGACAAACCCCCAGAATATCAGTACAATAAAATGTATGTGGGGGGCTTTATTTCTTTGTCCTACCCCTCCACTCCAACCCCCACACCCCCCCACTAGTTAATATACATTTTCAGCCATAGCTCTTTTGGGGTGGGGGGTGGGGGCATGTGGTCAGACTCTACTTTTATATAATTTATTATTATTAAAGGACCACTATAGTGCCAGGAAAACATACTCGTTTTCCTGGCACTATAGTGCCCTGAGGGTGCCCCCACCCTCAGGGACCCCCTCCCGCCCGCCTCTGGAAAGGGGTAAAAACTTACCTTTTTCCAGCGCTGGGCGGAGAGCTCTCCTCTTCCGATCCTCCTCCTCTCCGCCCATTCGGCTGAATGCGCACGCGCGGCAAGAGCTGCGCACGCATTCAGCCGGTCGCATAGGAAAGCATTTACAATGCTTTCCAAGGACGCTGGCGTCTTCTCACTGTGATTTTTTTACAGTAAGAAGCACGCAAGCACCTCTAGTGGCTGTCAATGAGACAGCCACTAGAGGATTTGGGGGAAGGCTTAACCCATTCATAAACATAGCAGTTTCTCTGAAACTGCTATGTTTATAAAAAAATGGGTTAACCCTAGAAGGACCTGGCACCCAGACCACTTCATTAAGCTGAAGTGGTCTGGGTGCCTAGAGTGGTCCTTTAACATTGTTTCCTTGCTTTTTATGTATTCTATGAGTGGTTGCATAACCAAGTTCACTTTTCACTAGACTGTGAGAAGTCTCTATCCTACATTGTATGTTTACAAAAATGTGTGCCTCTGCATTAGAACCTTGTAATATAATCATTTATTGAGCTGTATTCATAATTCTTTTTTTTTTTTTTAGGCTTCTGCATGTTTGTTTTAAGCCTAGTGAAGAAGCACTATCGCCTGCAATTCTACATGGTAAATGTATAAATATTATCTTTTTTACATACCACTGTACAAATAACTATCAGCCATCCATTTTACAGTTTAACAAACTACTTAGTAACAATGCATACACTCTCACACAATTTGCAAATAATGATTGAATTATTAACATATTAGTCGAATGTCTTGTGTTAACTTGCTTTAAAAAAAAAAAGTATATTCTTTATTTATAGGGATGGAACTGCAGTGTTTAGCATTGCAGCACTAAGTGCAGTAGGGATACTGCACCCAGACCAATTCAATCAGCTGAAGTGGTCTAGGTGCCTATAGTGTTCCTTTAAATTGTAAAAGCAAAATGCAGAAAAAGGTTCTGAGCTTAGATTGCAAGCATGACACATATGCTCTGTAAACATTTTAGCTCAAATCATGTTGGTGTTACTAATTGGCCCTTTTTGGGCATTCAACACATGACGTTGCAGTACAATATCATTAGAGAACAATTGTTCATATTAACACCAGTGTATTAGAACAAAGTAAATAAGGTAAGTGAAATATTAAGTAAAAGGGAATGAAATAACTATTTGACTTCTGATGTTGGCCACAGATTCTAATTTGGTGAGCGGCAATTTTTAACTAGGGCCTATTAAACCTCCGATAGATGAATTCTTAGCAGAGATCAAAGGAGGTTTATGGTTACGGGGAGGGAGAACTATGTACAAAAAGCCACATAAGGAATAAATGATTGAGAAAGAAATAAGTAAAGAAAGATTGGACAGATAACGGGAAGAGACTGCGCATCCAGGTATACGCCAGAGAGAATGAAAAAGAAGAGGTGATAGGGAAAGATTGGTAAATGTGCTTGTGATTCATATACTTGCTGTAATAAGAATATTCCAATTATATGAAATATCAAATTCAAGTTGCATCCTTATGTCTCCATTCAGCCACATTACCATACCTTGTGGAATGATTTGGGTGAATCATGTATTTGGGAGGAGTGGGTCACATAGCATCTAAGTAGCATATTTTATGCTTGCTCTTTGTGTGTGACACACATAGTGAGTGTGTATATTGCTTACCATATATCTGACCAGTCATTGGGCTCCTCTGGGGGCCCCAAATCTGCTTCCCAAGCTGCAGTGTACAGCAAGTGTGTAGTCAATGTTGTATATAGGGTTGAAATCTCGTCTTTCTGTTTCGGGTTGCCAAGCAAGCATGCTCAAATTCTGTAGATGGGGCAGTGCCTGCCTGACAAATCACTGGAGTTGAGGACAAGCTATGGAGTTGCATATAGCGAAAGAAGTTGAAAGTTGTTAGTGAAGAGGAATTGAGTAAGTCAGCATAGACTATTATACAATTTTGAGTCTTGTGATATCTCCATCTTCAGAGCTAGCAAAATGTTTAGGGTGTAGACCAGGTGGAAATAAGTTGTTTGTTAACACTTGTTTTTAAGACTGTTCATCTGCCATTACTTAGTCAACTGGTTAGCACAGAGTAGAAATATGTATATACAATATAAAAACGACGTTCCCTCTATTGTAATAAAACCTGATTTTATTAAAGACACGGAGGCTCATATTATGCATAACTCTTTCTTTATTTCCTCAGCAGCAAAGAAAGAGAAATATAAATATTATCAAAACTGAAGAAAAAACTGTATAGGCACAACAGGTAGCCAATCACAGGGTATAGGAAGTAGCTATATAAGTCTTGTGTCTCCCACAATCCCCCTCTTTCTTTGCTGCTTCCTCAGACAGATAAGTGTTTTTCTGATCTCTGGCTTGCATTGTGATTTCATTTTGACTTGTCTTACAGTGTGTTTCTTTTTATATTTACATGCTGTTTTGTTTTATTATTATTTGAATTTGTTTGTGCTGTTGTTTTAATTTTTGTGTTTTCCTCGGCTGGTGTCTCCCCTCTGGGCCCGCGGGTGTGTCACTGCCCCGTCCGGGCGGTCCCCACCACCCCCCTCCTCTCTCTCCTCTCCTACCCGTGCTTCTACACGGGACCCGACCTGCTGTGCCGCGGCCGCGATCTCCGCACGACCGCGGCGGTGTACACGCTTCTCTCCTCCCCCCTTACTCCAGATAGCGTGTCGGCTCGGCGGGTGGGTGCACGAGCCCCTTCCCCTGCCGAGTGTTTCCTCGTGTGCCTTCCCTCGTGCGGCGGCCATTTTGGGGGCGGTCTTTGTATTCCTCCCAGTGCTGCCGTGCGACCGGCCACATCGTAGCCCTGCTCCCTGGGGACACCAGCCAAAACGTTTGTTTTCTGTTTTTCTGTTTTCCTTGTGGGTTAATCAACCCTTCCCTCTCTCTCCCAGCTAACACCCTGGTGTTATTCAGCCTGATTTGTTGTAGTCAGTTTCATTGGCCCCTATATAAATTTCCATTGCATTAATTATTATTTTACTATTTAAATTCTCATTGGTCTGTCTATTCTGTCCCCCACTGTCACTACCATGCAGGATAGGGGTGATGGGCCTGTTGGTCCCCCAGGGGACGTCCAATTAGATAATACTGATGGTGCCATGGCCTCCCAAGAGTTTCAAGCCATGTTAGAGGCCACTATGGCTTCCTCCATCCAGAAGGCTATTGCCTCAGCCATGGGAGCTGTCTCCTTAAATTTTTCCCAGTCCCTGCACTCTCTTATTTTACCTGCCATGGCCACCCCTGCCCTCTCCCCTGCTCAAACCGTGCCTGGAGCCCGTAAGGCAAAGGCTAAATCCAAACATGTCGGCTCCCACTCCTCGATGCAGGTTCTACCTGCCATGACTGACACGCCTGAGGTGGTCTCAGATGGCGCGCACCCCACGCGCAAAGGAGCCCCTGGCCGGGCTAAAAGGGCTAGAGCCCATGATATTGGGTCGGATACCGACCGGAGTGTGGAGGATGAGTCCGACGCTATGGAGTACGACTCCTTTGATCATGATGATTCTGGTGAGGATTTGCCCCTTACGGGCGTGAACCCCTCCGGGTCCTCCGCCAATACCCGGGGCCCCTCACTTGCTCCCCCGGGGGGTGACACCTCGATCCTTGACCCACAGGGCAACCCCCTGTTTGACCCAGACGACCTACGTCATCCTCGGTCCGCCGAGTGGGTTCCCCCAGATCACATCGCCCAATATGTGGCTAAGCGTATCCGCACGCCACTTTCTAGGGAAGGCCGCAATAAATTGCGCGCCGAGTACCCACGCACGTCCCTCCCGGGCGCGGCTTGCAAAACCCCGGACATTGACCCGCAAATTGCTCAATTCCTGAATAAGTCAGGATGGAAGCCCAAGAAGGGCCTTGACCACTCCCTTAAAAGCTGCCAGGACAAGATCCTGGATACCCTAGGCCCCCTTTCCAAGCTTTACGAGCTTTTGGATGCTGCCAGGACCGGGGACTCCGTCCTGGACGTGGATGTGGCCATTGGTTGGGTCCAAAGAGCTATTTGCTTACTGGGGAACGCCAATACGGCCATGTCTACAGAAAGACGCAAGGCGATCCTCCTGAAGATCGACCCTAAATTGGCCGCTATGACTGTGGCGGAGCCTGATCCAACTGAGGAGGGTCTCCTGTTTGGCACGTCCTTCGTTAAGGATATGGGTGCTTATGTCAAGACCTTTACGGCTATTGACAAGGCACAGGCGAACATGAAGCGCGTGTTCGCGCCTAAGGTTTTCGGAGGGGCCGGGCGTAGCAGGAACCGTCCACCCGGCCGTGGTTTCCGAGGCGCGTTCCGCGCAACCAGAGGTTCCTTCTTTCCCTCGAGAGGATTTCAGGAACAGAGGGCCCCTCCCTTCTTCCCGGCAAGAGGTCGGGCCTGGGGTTCCAGATACCCCCGCGGTGGTACCCCCGGCAGACGTCCTTACGGTGAGTACCCTTTCTTTCCCTCACGCTCAAGTTCGGGTGGCGGGGAGACTGGCCTTATTTTGTCAAGAATGGGCAAGGATCACCTCAGATGCTTGGGTTTTACAATGTGTAAGGGGTTTTCGTCTGGAGTTTGTTTCCATGCCTGTCCAGTTTTATCCCCCCAGAGAACTGTCCCTCCCTCCGGAGCAGGACGAGGTGATTTCCACGGAAGTGGTGGAGATGCTGTCCAAGGGCGCTATAGAGGAGTTGCCGTTCGCCGCCCCAGGCTTTACGAGCAATTTATTCCTAGTGCCCAAGAAAGGAGGCGGTGTTCGCCCTGTCATAAATCTTCGCCCACTCAACGCTTTTCTACGCTACCAACACTTCCAGATGGAAGGTATACACTGCCTCAGAGACCTCCTACGTCAATCGGACTGGTTGGCCAAGCTGGACCTGAAGGACGCATACTTTACGGTCCCCATCGCTTTGGAGTTCCGGGATTATCTCCACTTCACCTGGCATGGGCGTCGCTGGCGCTTCACCTGCCTGCCTTTCGGTCTCTCCTCGGCCCCTTGGTGCTTCACCAAGCTCATGAAGCCCGTGGTGACATTCCTCCGAACCCGGGGGGTTCGCCTCATTGTCTACCTGGACGATATCTTGATTTTATCCCAGCCACGAGAGGATCTCCTCACACACCTGGGATGGACGACCGACCTTCTGCAGAAGTTGGGATTTCTGATCAATTGGAGCAAGTCGGTCCTGGTCCCTGCCCAGTCCATAGAGTTTCTGGGTTTTCAAGTGGATTCCATCCAACAGTTCCTGTTCCTCCCGGATGCCAAGGTGAAAGCCATCCAGAAGGAAATTCGGAGAGCCCTCCGTGTTCCAGATTTGTCGGTCAGACAACTGGCGAGAATTATCGGCCTTCTCGCGGCCTCTATTCAAGCAATCTTCCCAGGCCCCCTGCATTACCGAGCGCTCCAACGGCTCAAGGGATCACGACTTCGCTCCGGTCATTCATACGAATCTCGGATAACATTAGACGAGGAGTCCAGGGACGAACTAGCGTGGTGGTTGGCGCACATGGAGGCATGGAACGGAAGAGCCATCTTCGGTTCTGCCCCGGATGTAGATAGAGTCCGATGCCAGCTTACACGGCTGGGGCGCTCGTTGTGGCAACGTCTCCACAGGAGGCAGGTGGTCCGACACAGAGAAGTCGTTACACATCAACTGCTTGGAACTTCTGGCAGGTGCCTTCGCGATCCGCAGCCTTGCTCCGGGGAGGGCGAATTGTTGCGTTCTCCTCAAGATGGACAACGTATCAGCGGTTCGTTACATAAATCACCTAGGGGGCACGAAATCCAAAATGTTGGCGACTCTGTCAAAGGAATTTTGGCAGTTCTGCCTCTACAACAACGTTTCGGTGACGGCGGAACACATCCCAGGTCTGGACAATTCGGGGGCGGATTGGAATTCCAGACACTTACGGGACTCCGGGGACTGGCATCTACATGCTTCAGTGTTCCGGTGCCTGAACAGGTTGTGGGGCCGGTTCCAGTTGGACCTATTCGCGTCACGCCTGAACACTCAGCTACCGAGGTTCTACAGTTGGAGGCCGGACCCGGCTGCAATAGCGACAGATGCCTTCCTCCAGGAATGGCCACCGGGTCTGATGTACGCTTTTCCCCCATTCAACATGATCGCACGCACGATCTCGAAACTGGTCCGCCACGATTGTCGGATGGCTTTGATCACCCCTCTATGGAGGTCTCGCCCATAGTTCCCTCGGCTGATGGAACTGTCCATAGACTACCCTCGTTTGCTTCCGGTATTCCAAGACCTCCTTCTGGATCCGGATGGGAACTCTCACGACCTGGTGTTGCAGCATCAGCTACCCCTCATAGCGTGGTTCCTTTCAGGGGACCTTGGGTTATCCCAGACGTTTCGCAGTCAACTCTCCGACTCCTCGATAACGCCTGGGCCCCGGGTACACGGACAGCTTACCGACATTCATGGAGATTATGGTCTGGTTGGTGCATGGAACGGGCAATGGATCCCGTATCTGCCCCTCTGCCTTTGATTCTGGAGTTCCTCATGTTCCTATTTGATTCGGGCAAGGCATACCGCACGATCAACCTTTTCCGCTCAGCTATCTCAGCCGGTCACGAAGGTCTAGACGGTTCTCCGGTCGGCAAGCATCCTTTTGTCTGTCGACTTCTCATGGGTATTCGCCTTGCTCGTCCTCCTCGACCTCGTTTTGCCACCTTTTGGGACGTCAACGTGATGCTACAGTTCCTATCGTCATGGTACCCCAATTTGGAGCTGACTCTCAAGCAATTGTCTGCCAAATTGGTTATGTTACTGTGCCTGATTTCTTGCAGAAGAGTCTCTGACGTTCGGGCCCTGGACTGGGACGCCGTTGCACTCACCCCAGAAGGCGTCACCTTTGACATTTCCAGGAGGACCAAGTCTGCGTCTAAGTCACTTACATACCCTAGGTTTTCAGACTGTCCAGCGCTCTGCCCGGTGGATTGCATCAAGGACTATCTGGATGTTACACGTCCCCTTCGCATGACAGACCTGCACGATCTGTTCATATCCTTTAAATCACCTCACCGGCCGGTTTCGACTCCTACTCTAGCACGTTGGGTGCGCTGGCTGCTATCCTCCGCGGGTATAGACACCTCAGTATTTACGCCTCATTCTGTAAGGGGCGCGATGGCCTCGAAAGCCTCTTCAGTCGGATGTCGCCTAGAGGACATTATGCGAGCAGCGGATTGGTCTCGGGAATCGACCTTCCGAGCCTTCTACTTCAGACCAATTGAGCACATCGCATCTCGTGTGGTGGCACAGCTTTGAACTTGCATAATATGAGCCTCCGTGTCTTTAATAAAATTCCCAGATTTTACTAGTAACATGACGTAAAGTCATGATTTTATTAAAGACACGGAGGCGAGTATTATTCCCTCCCACCCTCCCGGAGTGGAGTTGGGATACGAGATGCTTGGTGGCTCTACAGGTATGTTTTTCAGTTTGGTCTGTACTCTATCAGTTTGATTTTCATCTTTTGTACGGGTTGTTGTACCTTTATGTTGTGTACTAATTCTGTTGTTTTTATATTTCAGAACTCTGTTTTACCTGTGTCTCCCCAAGACTATGTTTGGTAAGTTTGCAGTTCTGAATTAAGAAATTACCATATTTCTCTATCTTTTTTAGCTTGAATTTGTCGCATCGTTTCCCGTTACCCTGTTTCGACCAAGTGGGACATCGTTCATCTTACCTGGTCTTCGGTTCGCAAGAAAGAGGGGGATTGTGGGAGACACAAGACTTATATAGCTACTTCCTATACCCTGTGATTGGCTACCTGTTGTGCCTATACAGTTTTTTCTTCAGTTTTGATAATATTTATATTTCTCTTTCTTTGCTGCTGAGGAAATAAAGAAAGAGTTATGCATAATACTCGCCTCCGTGTCTTTAATAAAATCATGACTTTACGTCATGTTACTAGTAAAATCTGGGAATTGTCTTACACATTTTCCAGCATGCAGTTGCATTTCTTTTATCTTTTTTCTTTTTTGAAATTGTTTAGTGCGATTAGTTTATGACATTTATTCATTTTACACAAAATGTAGCATTCAGACTAAAGTAGAATTTGCATTCTGTTCATGTCAAAAATCAGAAATGACTACAAAACTTGAAAATGTGTAGTTTGCCAGCTCACCTATGATTTGCAACAGATGTCTAAGCTGGAAAATTGGATCTAAGGGAGCATCATGGAAAAATAAAATCAGGGAAATGTTTTGTGTTTTTGCTATTCGAAAATAATGCACTGAATGTCCCTTTGAGACCGTTAATTTTTTATTTATTTTTAACACAACTGATGATGTTTTTTATGCTCTGTTGATAAATAAGAAGGGAGGTTCTGGCCCATAGCAAAAAGATTTGAAATGAATGTTTGCAGTCTGTTGCTTCATGAACAGAAATGGACATTGTAATTACATAATATTCTCTACTGAGATGTCGAATGTATTTACTTAACATATACATATGTTTTCCCGTGGGTGTGCATTTACTTTATGTACAAATGAAAGTGGAACTCTATAGATAAACATTTTTTTTCAATAATATTCTTTTTTCCTAGTTCGGATGGACACATGTCACTCTGCTGATTGTTGTCACGCAGTCACATCTTGTCATACACAACTTGTTTGAAGGCATGATTTGGTAAGACATTTCTGAGATAGCATGAAACATGATCTCTTACACAGCGTTTGTAAAGGAACCAATACAGTTGTTGCACATGCTGTAGAACTGGTTCCAGTATTTGTGTAATTGGAAAAAAAAAAACCCTAACACTGCTTGCACAAGTATAAAGAAGCCCATACAAGCCACGTCAAAAACTCACTATGTCAACATATAAATTAAATAATCTGTCCTTGGATGAGATTTTCCTTCAAAGATAGGAAATAAACCCATCCGACACTGTTTTCTTGTGTTGGTGTATATATCACATATAATTCCCTTTCTCCTATACTATTATACTCCATTAATGCAAGACCTATTTTATACATAATTTTATGTAGTTTTATCATGTTTAAACTAATTATGTGTACTCATTTCTTTCATTAAGGTTCATAGTCCCCATTTCTTGCGTAATCTGCAATGACATCATGGCATATATGTTCGGGTTTTTCTTTGGCCGTACTCCTCTCATCAAGGTTAGTGCAATGTGGTTGACAGTTTACATTCTTGTAAGGTTTAGTATTGCAAGACTTGCTGTACCAGGAGTTGGGGATGTTTTACCATCTGGGTAAGTGGTTGGTGAATAACAGAGTGGGTAACATCCAGTTATTGAATTGTATCCCACTCACCTCCCCCTCTCCCCCACCGCACCACCACCCAAACATAATGCCACTATGGCAACAATATCTACGAGGTTTTTTTAAGCCAAAATTATAACCGTACTTTTTGTCTGGCTGTATCACTACCAACATTCATGCTGATTCCTTTCATGTACTTCCTATTAGTTGTCTCCAAAGAAGACCTGGGAAGGATTTATTGGAGGTTTTTTTTCTACTGTTGTCTTCGGATTGCTGGTAAGTTTAAATGCTTGCTTATTTGACTGCATAAACACAATCAGATGGCAATTTGTAATATGCGAGATTTGTTTTTCAAATATTCCTTCTTTGAGGCCTGTATATGCAAATAAAAATCCAGGAGCAAAAGGTCAAACTAGAAATTTGACAAACTGATTTCATTATCTCTAAAGCAGCTTTGCATTCGTTATGCTTCTTATACCTACTTAGGCATTTGTCCAGTGAAAGGATAGGCTGAAAACGATCTCACTTTAAATCCCTATCTGACCTTATGGAGTTTGACTTTTATATTTATTTTGAAAGAGCACTAACCATACTAATTAAAGTCATTTCAACAACCAAATGGTATCTTCTCCTTGCTCACTATTCATGATCTTCTACTTTAGATTCTGTTCTCGAAGGCATCCAGCTACCTAATGTTGTTAACATCTGAAAAGCAGTGCTCTTAGTAATCCACATTCAACTTAAACCATGTTTTAAATCTCCTTTATATTCAGTACTTCCACAGTCTTGCCATTTTCCCTGCCTTAGTTTTAAATTTGGCCCAACCTGTTCTTCACCCACTTGCATTCAATCTCTCACATTAAGATTGTCTCCAAAATCTGCCTGTTCCTAACATCAGAAACCACTACAATGCTAATTCACTTATTAGTAATGTCAGATATGGATTATGGCAGCACTCCCCTAATAAGCTTTCTTCTTTAGCACCTATCTCAAATTCTCATAAACTTCTATATTAGACCCATTTAACTCACGCATCCATTTACTTCCTTACTCTGCCAGTTTCTCTATTGGTGCTCCATCACTTCCAGGACATAATAACCCAAGACTCAAAACATTCTGTCTCCCCTATATCTGCTTTTCTGTTTAAAAGCTTTTTTAGTCATCTTTACTCATTCTGCCCATGATTTCTGCCTTTCTTCTTTTCTCCTCACATTGTCCTATGTTTTCTCTGTGCTGCTTTTATTATCTAGAATTTCTTGCCAGACTCTGTCCTGCTCTCTCTCCCACGTTTCTCTTGTGTATGTAAACATGTAATGTAAAGATAAACTCCTGGCTGCATCTTTCTTTAGGTTTCAAGTAAACATCTGTAAACTGCTGCAGATGGATGAAATTCATAATTCCATCTCCCCTAGGTGTATCGATATCTGTACAATTGTTGTTTTAAAAAATATTTAATTGCTGAATGATTTATTTTACTTGCTGGTCAGAATGATACAGTTATTCGGATATAATCTGTTGCGTTGTGTTATTTTTTTTTTATCCAGCACCTGTCACATTTTATCCTTGTTTTATATGCTCTCTCCACCATTATATAGATATATTTTCTGGTGTGATATCTTTCACCTCTAATTCTTCAGTTCTTTTTTTTTTTTTTTTCTAGTTATCCTATGTCATGTCGGGGTACAGTTACTTTGTGTGTCCTGTAGAGTTTAACAATGACACCAATCGGTTTACAGTAGACTGTCAACCTTCTGAGCTTTTCCAGCTGCAAGAATATCACATTCCTGCCCTACTGCAGTCTGTCATCGGATGGGTGAGAACTGAAAAAGGGACCTTGCACTGGTTACATTTATGCATTAAACGTAAAGTAGATTTGAACCCTGTGTGATTTTGTAATTGTATGTAGCAAAAGAGCTACTCGTGTGACATGACAGCCAATATAATAAAGAGTAGAAATAAAATGTTGCATAGATAATGGTTAACAAAAAAGTATATAAGTGTGCTACCTCTGGCATCCTCATTTACTAGTTGTTACCACAATAGCCACTGCACAAGGATAAGATTAAAAGTAGGTGTGTGGGGCTGATGATAGCTGGAATGTTTTTACACACTCAGATCTTCGATTGCATGCACAATAACAGGGTTATTCCACAAACAGTGATTCTTAGTTAATTAAAGCCAAATGGCAAACACTGAGGCTAAAATTTTGGCAACTGAACTACTAGAAAAAAATTATTTGATAGCTATTTCTAAATAAAGAGTGCAATTCTACTGAAAACTAGGAATTGGTAGGTCTGGTTTAAACCATTGTCATATATAAATAGTATCCATTGTCTACCGTTTATCTACTATGACACCTAGTGAACTAATTAAATGGGAGGTTACACCAAAAGCTCTTTAAATTGCATTGCTATCAATGTTATGTAATGAGTCAGCTCTATTACTGCACTTTTAATAGCTTCAGTAATCCTCCCCTCCAGTTTGTAAAATAGCCTCTAATAAACTAGAAAGTAAGCTCATTGAGCAATGCCCTCCACCTCTATGTTCCTGTATGTCGAGTTGTCTGGTTACAATTAAATGTCTGTTAGTCCACCCTTTGTACAGCGCTACGGAATCTGATGGCGCTATATAAATAATAATATAATAATAATAACTACAAATGCAATGCAATTAGCCAAAGCATCTCCTAATTCACCCTCCCCATGTTCTCTCCAATCTCTCGTTCATCCCCAGGAGTTTAATTTGCCAGAATATTTGCAAGAAGGCAAAGGACATATATCAAAATGAATGTGTGCATCAGCGATCTCAAAATCCTATACAATGAGCCTGCAGATAAAAGCTTAAGCTGGCTTTTGTTCTTCTTCACTAAGCATAATTTTAGATTGACAGCTGATGTATGGGTTATATATTAAGAACAATTCTGATGCAAACATTTAAAAATAGTGCAACTGTCAGAACATTTTACTGCTGTCCATGATCATTGCTCCACTTTTAAAAACCTTACCCTGGAATTAATTTTTATTTACAACCCCTTTTAAGTCGGATTAAATCCCTGTGTTTGATGCTGAATTGCACAGGATCTCATGGTGTCTATTTTCTGTTACAGAAGACAATCTGGATGTATCCCTTCCAAATCCACAGCATCGCCCTGTCCACATTTGCCTCCCTCATTGGACCATTTGGAGGATTCTTTGCCAGTGGTTTTAAAAGAGCTTTCAAGATCAAAGTAATTATTGCTGAAGATGGAACTAAAACAATGCATGTGTTGCATATGAACTAATTCACAATCATTCAGATTATTTATCTACGTGTTACATAACCTTTCATACCCAATGTGTAAATACACCTGTATAATTCAGGGCAATTTGGGATGATGTTGCAGAATATTTATGCCTGCTAAAAAACAATATTTATTTTTGTATTGTAAAATATGCTTACAATTTTTTAAATACAAAAGAAATATTGGGAAAGCACACATTTTAAAATGGTGATCGAGGCTCTAGTCTAGAGGTGACCAAACTTCAAATGTGATAAGAAAAAATATATAAAAATAAAATATATATGTGTGTATATATATATATATATATATACAGGTGCAAGAAAAAGTATGTGAACCCTTTGGAATGATATGGATTTTTGCACAAATTGGTCATAAAATGTGATCTGATCATCATCTAAGTCACAACAATAGACAATGTGAACCCTTGGATTTAATAACTGGTTGAACCTGCTTTGGCAGCAATAACTTCAACCAAACGTTTCCTGTAGTTGCAGATCAGGCGTGCACAATGGTCAGGAGTAATTCTTGACCATTCCACTTTACAGAACTGTTTCAGTTCAGCAATATTCTTGGGATGTCTGGTGTGAAGTTTAAGCAGACTGTGATTGTCTATTGTTGTGACTTAGATGATGATCAGATCACATTTTATGACCAATTTGTGCAGAAATCCATATCATTCCAAAGGGTTCACATACTTTTTCTTGCAACTGTGTGTATATATATATTTATAACAAAGAAAAAACCTGGGCACAAATCTGATTTTCAGGCAGTTTTAATGGATAAAAGCAGCAACATATCGGCTCCTCACATATATCGGCCTTTACCCAACAAATCAAAACCAGTTTTGTTTTCTTTGTTTTTTTAGTTGAGCACTTCAGTTGTGTTTTTATTTTTACACATTCCACAGACCCTGTCAACCATATTAACTTTGAAATGTTACTGTTGCCTACCTTCAGTTCTTTTAAAAAGGTGATTTGAAAATATGTTGAGTGAAAAACCATCATACAAAAACTAAATTGTAACACCCATGAGAACATTTGTTGTCTTTCTGGAAATCACACTGTGGAATATTTGTTATTCTAGGATTTTGCCAACACCATCCCAGGGCACGGTGGCATAATGGACCGATTTGACTGCCAGTATTTGATGGCCACATTTGTGAACGTTTATATTGCAAGCTTTATCAGGTAAGCAAGGAGTAGCACATGCTTTGGCTTTGAACTTAAAACATTTATATTCTCATTCAGGTTTCAGCATCTCAGTATTGTCTTACAAATGTTTTGTTGTTCTTCTCCTTTAAGAGTGACTAAAATAATGCATAAAATACATTAATATGTGTACATGCCAAGTTGCATAAAACTGTAGCTAAAAAATGGTAATTCTGCTATATACAAGTAATGTGTTAACTTATCACTATCTTCAAAGTACTCCAATCTCAGTGGTCATTACCTTAAAGGTACACTCCAATGACCATAACAACTTCATCTATATTAAGCTGTTATGGTGATAGGAGGCCCCTCTTACCTTAAGGAGTTAAACCTTAAAAGCAGCCTTTCGAGTTAACCAAAATGGTCTAATCCAAAAGGCTTTCTCCAGTGCCCAATCTCCAGGTCCCCCAGCGGTATCCGGCTTCTGAAACTGAGTTTTAAGAGGTGTGTATGCCACCAGACAGGGGCACTGATGGTTGGCTTCCATTTTATGAATGGCCCTGTCGGTGGTACTACATGCTTCCTGAACGATTTTAAAGTACAAGTTGAGGCAAACATCAAAAGAGAACCAGACTTCTGAAGTTCTACCCTACTATCTGAGAAACTAAAGTAAAAGATGACTAGGCACAACTGGATACATCCTTTAGGTAGATTATTTACATTATATAACATTTATGTTTAATTTATTTATTTTTTAGGTTTTTTGGGGGGGAGTTCTTAATTAGTTTGTCAATTTCTCTGGAAGTATGCTGGCCCTTCTGGTATCCTGGTATGATAACCACACATGAGCTGTTGTGTTACAGTGCTTGGAGTGCTCCTTTAAATTGTCATGCTTACTTGAAAGGCACATTTTAGATATCTAAAACATATTTTTATTTTTTTAATGTTTCAATGGGGTTTTTTTTTTGTTTTGTTTTTTACATTGTTCATTGTGTTGGAAATTTAAAGGGACACCATAGACACTATAACCATTTCATCTCATTACATTAGAACTGTCCCTAAATTCAGTAAGAAACTTTTAGAATGGTTTAACACTTATTAATGATCCCTGGCTGCTCAGTCCAGCCCCCACTGGAAGTATTGCTAAGGTTGAGATTGCATACATACTTAGTCATACTCATTCATACATGCAGTGGGTGGCTGTGGTAGGCTGAAAGTTGTCATTTGACACTCTCGGCTAATCAGAGGGCATGGATTGCTGTGGACTCTCATTTAGCATTAAAAATGGTTTAAGATTTAAGAGGACAGTGCCAGGAGACTCCGATACTATAAGTACTTCAATGAGATGAAGCAGTTACAGCATCTACAGTTTCTGTTTTAAGACTGAGCTGGCTGTTTATTGACCCTTGGAAACGTAACGTTTTTACTGTGGGGTATTTTTATGTCTATAGCACATTTTGTATTGCAGTGTTCCTAGCCATACATCTGGTCAGCATATTTCCTAACAAGTGTTAAACCTTCAGTCTGTAGCTCTGTTCAGCCACAAGTTACAAACTAATATTATAAGGTTAAATGATTTAAAGAACCTGACTGTATTGATGTGTGCTATAATTTCTTTTTTAAAATCTGTTTTTCTTTCTCAGGGGTCCCAACCCAAGCAGATTAATCCAACAGTTCTTAACTCTGCGTCCTGACCAACAAATACACATCTTCAACACACTAAAGTCACATTTAATGGAAAAGGGAGTTCTGGGAAATGCAGAAGAAGAAGCATAACTCTACATTGTGCACAACAGAGGACACGCCAACTGACAGATTGAGGTTGTTCTTTGATGATACTAGAGGAGATGCATTGACCACCTCTTCTGCTGTCAGAGAAGGTTGAAAAAGACTTTGTGCATTGTTTTTTTTCCTTTCACCACCTTACGTTTCTTGTTCATGTATTCCTATATTTCTCTTTTATGCCTATCCGATCCTTTATCCAGCAGGCTATCAATGTGATCACCTGCGGGTCATCAAGTGTACCAAACTAGGCCCAAACAATGTGCAGAGATTAACTATTGATAGTTTATATGTGTATTAATTGCATACTGCATTTGTAACTCTGGAAAGGGTAGTGGGCAGATTTAATTTAAAAAAAAATATTTTTTACCTTCGTATTTGTGCTACATTTTAATTGCCTTTGCATCGAGTATAGAGTATTATGTTCAGATCTCTTGTTTTAAAAATTATTGCCAGCACGTTGGAACCTAGACAATGGGGCAATCTGTAATATTTTATAGGATTAGTGGATATTGAAGACCTTTTAATGCTGTGTCCATGTTTACATGTGTTTGTTCCAGTCAAACATCTTATGCTACAATTAGTTTTTTCCCTACTTGACTTGTACAAACTACTTTTACTTCTCTAGTCTTGTACAAGATACTTTTTCCGTTTTATTTTCTTGTGCACACTTGGCTTTAGTTGTCTTTATTTAAGAGTCCAATAACTAACAGTAATTTATATTTGTGTAATCTTTATGGCCCCTCGCTGTAATTCATTGCTAGTGGTTTTACCAGTAATACTGGGTGAAAATGCAGTCCATTACAAAGTTGTGTAATCTGTAAAGAGAAAACTACACATCAATAATTCTTTATTCTCAAATCCCTTAATTTCAGCAATCTGTCTTGTCACCATTTATTTTCACTGATTATTTGTCTGTTTATCTCTATAATTAGGTTCGCCCGAAACAGTCTTTTTGCTTTTCTGGAAGTATTTATTTTAGTTAACTTTACATACGGTTGGATAATCTGAGTGATGGTTTAAAGTATTACGTAGTTATTTAAATTTTAAGTCATAAAAGTGAATTTCAAAAGGGATTTAAACCTCCAGTGAGTAAATACACTACCTCCCCTTATGTCTGCTTAAGAAAAAAAAATCCCTGGCAGTTCAATGGGTTTTTTGTTTTTTTTTCTATGTACTATTTTATTTTATTACATTTGCCTAGAGTAAAACTATACTCATTGAAAACAAGTTAAAAAAAAAACAAAACTTTTTTTTTTGTACAAGATGTATTTATTAATATTATTTGTATTCCCTTTTCAGAATGACTTGTATAATTTCTGATTCATGGATTTACTGTATATGTAATTTTTCTTTTATATTTATACGAATACAGCAGACACTATATACCATGATGGTTTAGTAAAGAGCTGGCCGGAGGAAAGTTACAATATTGTACTTGGTACATATATAAAATTATTATTCCTTATATTATGTAAAGAGCAAAGATAAATTCACCTTCTACTAGCTCCCAAAACGTAAATTTCATATAGAGTCTTATAATATAACTTTGCATTTAATATCTTTGAATGAGTGTAAGAGCTATATTTAGGTATTTATTTGAGAAATGCTACAGGCACCAAAAAGTTGAACATTGGACCTGACAAAGCATTGTGTGAAAATATAATCCTGATTTTATCTGCATGATGTCAGAGGAATAAATACAAGATCGTCTTGCACCATAGCGCAAATACCTAGCAAAAAATATTTTTAAAAATCTGCATATGCAGAAGCTTTTCTCGTTTAGTTTAATGAGAAGTTAGTTGGCATGCGCGCTGGTGATCTCATGCAAATAAGCATGCTCAGCAGGGCTTTCTTTAAAAGTTTTAGCAGAAACTTGATTGGCTGCTACATCTCAATCAATTCCTGGTTGATGTAGTAGGCACTGGAGGATATTCAGAACCAAGTTATTAGGGGAATGATTTTTTTTTAATTAAAATGGGTGATAAATACAGAACCTCAGAATGTATGGTGTGCACTTACCTATGCTCGACATAGGTAAAACTTTAGTAGTTATGAGTAAAGTGGGTAACATATGTGTTTTATTAATTTGCTTTTTTTAAATGAACTATCCTGACCAAATTTCAAATGGCTAATAAACTTACACAGATCCTCTAACAAAAGATGATAAAATGTCCTAAATGTTCATTAAAACTCCCATAACCTAATCACAAACATACCTCTCCTTGGCCATTTGATATGCAGGGAGATATATTTATCCGTCAGCCTTTGATGAAAGATTAAAGTACATTATAACAACAATATGCTAGCATGATGTGCAACTAAGACTGAGAGAAACAATTGCAAACAAATCTGAAGGGTAAAAGGGGAAGGCTTGTCCTGTTATAACCGCTATCTATTGTAAATCTTTATTTTATGGGGGTTTTTTTTTCTTTGTTTTTGAAGGAAGTTTGGATGGTGCTTATACCAACTTTTTTTTTATTTTTTTTTTATATGTTTTGCCTGTTTTTCTTGTCTGTAGTAAAGCTATTAATAATGAATTCTAGGCATTCTTCTCCAAAGAGAGATATTTCATAGACATTGGCTGTAAATGGAAGATCTATTTTATATAATGGCATGTGACATTCTCATGACTATTAATGGCAATACTGGAACAGTTTTAAAACATTTTCTGGCTTTTGACACACGATCATAATTCAAAGCAGAAAGTTTATCGTGGAACAATCAATTATGTGCGCTGAAAGTGCATATATAAGCATAATGCTCATGAACTAGCTTAAATTATATATTGATGGAGATCAGGGGATTTAGAAGTAATAGATAAAGATGCATTTGTCCTACACACTATAATTTGTATTTGGGAATATGAAATGCAATTGAACTGTTCCTCTGCACATATACTAATGACTGTGTTCCTGCAGCATGATGCGTTGTTTGCAAGTGTGATTCTGCAGTGTGGCACATTGCGTGGGATCCTGATCCTGCAGCATTGTGTAGTGATCTTGCAACGTGTCAAACAAATCTGGTGCTGTTTGTGGAAGTATGATCCTGCAGCAGTGTGTAGTGTCCCTTAAATATACATTTATATATTTTTTGCACAATGTTGCTGTGCACGTGCCCGAGTCAGCACAGCACCTAGTTGCAGTGTGCACAAGTCTGATCCTGCAGCATACTTGTATGTGTGAGAGTCCACAAGAGACAGCAAGTTGCTTTGTACTGATTCTGCAACATGTTTCATTTTATACAAATGTAATTGTGCAGAATTTTGCAATGTATCAAAATCTGACGGTGTAGTCTGTGGGAATCTGATCTTACAGCATGGTGCAGTGTTTGAGAGTCTGACCTTACAGCATGGCGCAATATGTGGGAATCTGACCTTACAGCATGGTGCAGTGTGTAGGAATCTGATTTTACAGCATGGTGCAGTGTGTGTGAGTCTGATCTTACAGCATGGTGCAGTGTGTGGGGATCTGATCTTACAGCATGGTGCAGTGTGTGGGAGTCTGATCTTACAGCATGGTGCAGTGTGTGGGAGTCTGATCTTACTGCATGGTGCAGTGTGTGGGAATCTGATCTTACAGCATGGTGCAGTGTGTAGGAGTCTGATCTTACAGCATGGTGCAGTGAGTGGGAGTCTGATCTTACAGCATGGTGCAGTGTGTGGGAGTCTGATCTTACAGCATGGTGCAGTGTGTGGGAGTCTGATCTTACTGCATGGTGCAGTGTGTGGGAATCTGATCTTACAGCATGGTGCAGTGTTTGAGAGTCTGACCTTACAGCATGGCACAATGTGTGGGAATCTGACCTTACAGCATGGTGCAGTGTGTGTGAGTCTGATCTTACAGCATGGTGCAGTGTGTGGGAGTCTGATCTTACAGCATGGTGTAGTGTGTGGGAATCTGATCTTACAGCATGGTGCAGTGTGTGGGAATCTGATCTTACTGCATGGTGCAGTGTGTGGGAGTCTGATCTTACTGCATGGTGTAGTGTGTGGGCGTCTGATCTTACTGCATGGTGCAGTGTGTGGGCGTCTGATCTTACTGCATGGTGCAGTGTGTGGGAGTCTGATCTTACTGCATGGTGCAGTGTGTGGGAATCTGATCTTACAGCATGGTGCAGTGTGTGTGAGTCTGATCTTACAGCATGGTGCAGTGTATGGGAATCTGATCTTACAGCATGGTTTAGTGTGTGGGAATCTGATCTTACAGCATGGTGCAGTGTGTGGGAGTCTGATCTTACTGCATGGTGCAGTGTGTGGGAGTCTGATCTTACTGCATGGTGTAGTGTGTGGGAGTCTGATCTTACAGCATGGTGCAGTGTGTGAGAATCTGATTATACAGCATGGTGAAGTGTGTGGGAATCTGATCTTACAGCATGGTGCAGTGTGTGAGAATCTGATCTTACAGCATGGTGTAGTGTGTGGGGGTCTGATCTTACTGCATGGTGCAGTGTGTGAGAATCTGATCTTACAGCATGGTGCAGTGTGTGAGAATCTGATCTTACAGCATGGTGTAGTGTGTGGGGGTCTGATCTTACTGCATGGTGCAGTGTGTGAGAATCTGATCTTACAGCATGGTGCAGTGTGTGAGAATCTGATCTTACAGCATGGTGTAGTGTGTGGGGGTCTGATCTTACTGCATGGTGCAGTGTGTGAGAATCTGATCTTACAGCATGGTGCAGTGTGTGAGAATCTGATCTTACAGCATGGTGTAGTGTGTGGGGGTCTGATCTTACTGCATGGTGCAGTGTGTGGAAGCTTGAATCTGTTGCAGTGTTTGTTGATTCTGTAGCAGTTTGACAGTGTACATTTGTTCAATACCTGCAAGCAAGTTTTCTGAAATTTACTCTTTGATACAAGCCTGGTTTCCAAAACTTGGACTCTATTCCTATGAAAGCACAGTTCCCAAACCAGTATACACATACAGCGAGGGCCGGATAAACATAGAGGCTAATGAAGCTAAAGCTACAGACCCATGCTCCTGTAGCTCCTCTTTACATGCTTTTGCTTTGTGCAGAGGAAATTAAAGGGATACTATAGTCACTAGAACAACTACAACTTATTGTATTTCTTCTGGTGAGTATAATCATTCCCTTCAAGGTTTTGCAGTAAACACAGTCTTTTCAGAGAAAAGGCAGTGTTTACATTACAGCCTAGGGATACCTCCACTGGCCACTCCTCAGATGGCTACTAGAGGTGCTTCTTGGGGCAGTGTTGCACGCCATTCAGTGTCTCCGCCCTCTGCATGCAGACACTGAATTTTTCTCATAGACGTGCATTGATTTAATGCTTCTCTATGAGGAGATGCTGATTGGTCAAGGCTGTGTTTTGCTTGTGCTGGCTCTGCCTTTGATCTTCCTCCTTGACAGTTTTAGCCAATCCAATGCTTTCTTATTGGAAATCATTATGATTGGCCTTGACCAATACCTCTGATAATGTCAGCCAAGCAGGCAGATCATCAGCAGAGACAGCAGGAGCAGGGTGGGATAATGGTAAGATTTTACTATATTTATGGGAGGGGGCAGGCAGGGGGGATAGATGGTGTTTTTAAAACTATAGGATCAGGAATACGTTTGTGTTCCTGACCCTATAGTGTTCCTTTAAGTATAGGAACTTGCAGGGGAACAAAACTTGGGTGGACTGGCTGACTATAAATAGTTAACAAAAAGTGTTTTTTTAACACTGAACGAATGCTCTTGCTGCTTCGGTCTCTCTAACAGTGTGGCATGTCCCTATAAATCTACGCTCACTACATCTACATTTTCTCTGTCATGGACTGCTTTCCAGGAGCTTCCGCCTGCTTGTAAGAAGGGAAGGAGAGACGTGGACAAGCGAGTGCCGGGGGTAACTAGGGAACTCTCCCCAGAAAGTGTAGAGCAAGTGCATCATTACATGCATTTGTGGCAAGCTCAGGGTTATGGAGGGTTTGCAAAGTCCTCCTTTAGTTGGTGGACCTACTTTTATTCACGCCAGACTGACCTTCCAATTTTTGGTGCAGACCTGCCCTCTTTCCAGGTGGGTCGGCTAACCTCTTTTTACTCTACTCATCAGCATCCCGCTTCACAGGATGGGATATTGATTTGGTTGACAGATGAAAGTGAAAGATTAGCATAGGGTATGTGTTTTCTTATAGCTGTATCCTGTGAATTTCCCTCTGGCACCGCCTCCACTTGCGAGGTATGACTCTTATTTTACTAAGATTCTGTAATTAGGTCCATCACAATTGTTAGCTCCAGGCTCAATAGGCACTTAATCCGGCCCTGCATATAGCAATTATTTACACTGACCAAGCAATCAATGAAACATGTTGTCGGGTTGATTCCATTAGGTGGTCAGAAACGTTTTATACCTTAGCTTAGTTGATATATTTTTAGTCTGAGGATGTTTGTATATGCTTCATAGGCTGGCTTACAAAGTGCTGCTATAAATAGTAATATTGTGTGCTTAGTCTACACACAATATTGCCTAATATGTACATACAATCCTCAGCTGTCTGAAATGCTCAGATTCACTGTATGAGAGTAATTTTTGTAGTCCTGGATTCTGCAAGAAGGTTACACAATTTAATATCCAGCAAACCTACATTTACATTATTATGGCACATTTCTCAAAACTTCTATAAATAACTTGAATTACTGTGAAGTAAAGGTAGTTTGTATATAAACAAGTATTGATTGTTTTATGCACCAAGCCAATTATGTTTGCTGCTACATGCTGATATTTAACCTCAACTACAGGGAAGAAGGGGTCATTTTCTGCTTTTGAATGGGGTGTTACATCCTATTTTCTTAACAGGATTCAGTTTTCAGATTCCCATCCTTTATTTCTCCTGCAGTCTCTGCTTGTCACAGTGATACCTGTCCGTGATAACATGAAAATTGACTCTACCTTACACTGTAACATTCAAGCTGCAATTAGCATATGTTTAATGACTACTATACTTAATTCTGTGTGCAACCAGCTTCATTTAGCCCTTTTATAGTAATATATTTTTTAAAAATGGGTAATTAAGTAAACAATATCTGCAGTCTGTACATTGTGAAATAAGTTTTTCAAAGTTGTCCCTTTAAGATTAAAAGTAAAATGCTGTAAGGCATGTACATTTTACTTTTTAGCTTTTTTAGAAGGAAATCACATTCTTCTTAGCATTGAACTGAGCTGTGAACTAGAAATTATTAGATCACCATCTGAAAAAAAAAATAACAACTTTAATATCTGCTATTAATTCAGGGGTAGGCTGGCAAAGGAGATGAGGGAGGGTGGAAAATGAAGAATTTTGTCAAATAATTTATATATATATATATATATATATATATATATATATATATATATATAAAAGGACCAAACCACAAAACTGTGCTTTCAGTCCTACTTCTATATACTTTCTATATAGCCCATTTTACCAAGATATTGTTATGTTATGTATGTGTTACAGTCTGTGTCAAAATTATGGTATGGTGTTTACTTTCTGGCCATAATGCCTACTGGTCAGCCTGTCCCTGCCTCCAACATATTTCTCTGCATGAATACAGTCCTAAATTTAAGCATCCTGTGATAAAAAGGCTCTATAAAATAGCAAGGCCCATTGTGTTAAATAATATCAGTTGTTTAAATTAAATCTTTCTTTTTTCTTATTTTCTTAAGATTTCTTCACAAAGTATAATTTTTAGGAATATTGTAAATACTAAATACTTTAGTTTTATAAACGGTTAAAGTTCTTTTTAATCAAATAATGCCTTTTGAAGTCGGGCTAGTTAAATCATGCCCCTCGGTTTTCGTGCAGTTATAACTTCTACCATCCAGGAAGTTGCAGCATTGCCAGTACTACTTTAACCCCTTAAGGACACATGATGTGTGACATGTCATGATTCCCTTTTATTCCAGAAGTTTGGTCCTTTAGGGGTTAAAGGGATACTCTGGCACCAATGCAACTTTAATGTATTTGATAGACTTTGGCCTCATTATCTTGTATTTTTTTTTTTACATATTTGAAACTTTATTATTTTTGCATTAAAAACAAACAAACGTGTTTTACTGAATACTACACCTTAGCCATGCCCCTGCATGCCAGAAAGACTTCCTTGTCAAAGGTATGCACACAGTTTTAGCCCCAAAGAGAACAGTTTGAGCTGCGTTTAATACACAACCTGGCTGCAGACAATCAAAAACTATAAACAGGTAGTGATATCCCTGCTATAAGCCTCCATCAGTGCCCTCTCCTTATAATGCAGGATGTTTTGTAGTTAAGTACTCTCAGTAGCTGAACGGTGTGCATACCTTTTTGATAAGGAAGTATTTTATGGCCTGAGGGATTGTGGCTAAAGAGGCAGGGGTAAGGTGCAGCATTTTGCTAAATATTTATTTTATGCAATAAACATAAATAATTGAGATTACAAAGAAAATACAGCATATTAATGATGCCAAAACCTGACAAATGCATTAAAGTTGTAATGGTGTCCGGAGTGTCCCTTTAAGGTGCAATCCTGGCCACATAATTGCCCAGCTATTACTTTTGTATACACAACTGTATATTTATATGGCTTAAAACACTGGTAAGCTGTGTGCTGCTTCGGCACACAATGTATTGTATCGCTTTGACATTACAATGCAGCACATCACTAATACAGTTTAATTATCCGTTCACGTTGGCACCTATAGCTTAATACTGCATAACAATCTGTATATCTGTGTCAGCCAAAGCAGGAACTTCCTGTAACAGTTTCATTCTGAGTATTGCTGATAAATTAGAAGTTTTGATCCTTATAGCCCTATACACTCTGGCTGCCTTTTGCATAAATGTTCTATTTAAATGTTCATGTCCCAGCATTGCAAGAACTAGGTTAGCCGTTCACAGGGGCAGAACTAACAGTTAGCAGTGCATGTTAAATATAGGGAGTGCTCTGTAAGAAGCAGTTCTTAGAAGCATCTTGTTAAACTGCTTCCTGTACTTTCTAGATGCACCCTCTCTGTGTTAGCAATACCTGTAAGTGGGCTAATTCCGCAATTCTATGACTTCTCTCACTCCTTAGATTGATTATTCACATGTGATAAATGTTTACCTATTTATATACTTATGCAACTTAAAAATAAATAATTGTCTCAAACAAGTGTGTCTTGCTTTTATTCAGAGTTCCAATGAATAGGTTGTTATGCTGTGTGATTTTCTTTGCAATCAGAAACAGAAAATGTTGATTTGAAGAGATTCCTGCTTCCTTTCTGATTTGTGCAGTATGTACATTATTTTCTATACAAGAATCATAGCCTCTGGAATTTAGGTGAATAAGGTCTCCTTTTTTTCTTATCAATAATAATAAATGAGTACGTGTAATATAGCTTTGTTGCACATTATTTTGTGTGTTAACTGTGGTGTTCACTAACCTTCGATTACCTGCTTTAATTTGCTTAGATAACCTGTGCTTGTGATCAAAGAAGTCTTAAATATAACTCTCGAAGTATAGTAAAAATGTAAGTCAGGCCATCAGCCGTTATATGGGCATATTACAAGATAACATAAACTGAGGCCATAACATGAGATCTTTATTACAGCGCTGCAGAATATGTTGGCGCTTTATAAATGCCAGTAATAAATAAATATTTGCAGCAATAATAAAAATGATGACAAAGATCCGTTAAGATAAAGCTATTATAACTTACCCATCATCAGGTGTGCCAGTTTTGCATTAAATACATTAACTCACACTATACATTGTGTTTCACGATGTTTCACTGTAACATCCTACATTAAGGAACCCTCATTCAGTTTTTGACTGCACTTAATTATGAGATAAAATAAATAGAGTGCCTATAGGTATTTCCATGTCCAGAAAGCTATATCGTGTCTAGTAAATAGTGAGCAGCCTGCAGAGCTCAGTCTGCGCGGAGCCCTCCATGGGTGAAGATGGATTATTATATTTGCGCTCTTTTTTTTTTTTTAAAGTGCGTCGGTTATTATGGATTTTTATTTGCCCTTTTTTGTTTTACAGGTACTAGTTAATGGTCCCCCCTCATTATTTTTAGTGTGAGGGGGTAGGTAGGGGTTATTTTTAATTTTTTGGGAGGTGGGTGACTAGGGGTTTGGGGACCTCTAGTCACCTGGGGTGGGGGGGTTACATTTTTATTTAGGGCCCCTACCTGCCGCTCAGGGGTGGTGGCCAGGGGGAGGACAATAGGTCCCCCCTTATTGGTATTTAGGGCACCCACCCACCTCTCAGGGGTGGGGGCCAGGGGGAGGACATTACGTCCCCCCCATTTTAATTTAGGGCCCCCACCCGCCGCTCAGGGGTGGGGACCTGGGGGGAGGACAATAGGTCCTCCCCCTTATTCTGATTTAGGGCCTGCCAGGGGGGAGGACAATAGATCCCCCCCATTATTTTACTTTAGGGCCCCCACCCGCCGCTCAGGGATGAGGGTCAGGGGGGGAGGACAATAGGCCCCCCTTATTCTAATTTAGGGCCCCCGCCCACCACTCATGGGTAGGGGCCGGGGGGGGGACATTAGGTCCGCCGCCCCATTATTTTACTTTATGACCCCCACCCGCCGCTCAGGGGTGGGGGCCATGGGGGAGGACAATAGGTCAGCCCCCCTAATTCTAATTTAGGGCTCCACCCACCGCTCATGGATGGGGGCCGGGGGGAGGACAATAGGTCCCCCCCCTTATTTTACTTTAGGGCCCCCACCTGCTGTTCAGGGGTGGGTGCCGGGGGGGGCATTAGTTTCCCCCCTTCAGGTTAGAAGCCCCCACTTGCGCAGCACAGGTGGGGGCTCGGAAGGGGGGGGACGTGCTTTTTTTTTTTTTTTTCAGTGAGCAGCCACAGGCTGATCACTGTTTACTAGACATGCCCCTACTCGCGGTATAGCGAGTAGGGGCAAAATTTACTTATACTAAGTAATCTTTAAAAATGTGGCTGAAAGATCTAGCCTAGGATATTCTATAGCATGAAAAGGATTGCAGAGAATAGTACACAGATCTGTTTATAACTAGAGTTGAGCGAACCCGAACTGAAAAGTTCTGGTTCGTACCGAACATTAGGTTTTTTTGGACCCCGGACCCGAACACGGACATATCACTGTGATTTAATGACGCCTTTTGAAAGGCTGCATGGCAGCTAATCAACAAGCGTTTGACTCATGTGCCCTTAGAAGCCATCATGCCTACTAATGGCATGGCTGTGATTGGCCAGTGCAGCAAGTGACCCAGACTCTATAGAAGCTGGTCACTTAGTATTAGTAAAGTATGCCCCTACTCGCTATACTTCGTATCTATTAAACAGTGAGGCTGGCTGCTCACTGTTAAAAAAAAAAACAAAAAAAACATTCCCCCCTCCTGAGCCCCCACCCGCGATGCTCGAGTGGGGGCTTTTAAACTAAAGGGGGGGCCTATTGCCCCCCGGCCCCGGCCCCCACCCCTGAGCGGGGGGTGGGGGCCCTAAATACCAATAAGGGGGGGGGCCTATTGTCCCCCCCTGGCTCCCACCCCAATGCGTCAGGTGGGGGCCCTAAATAACAATAAGGGGGGGACCTACTGTCCTCCCCCTGGCCCCCACCCCTGTGAGGCAGGTGGGGGTCCTAAATAACAATAAGGGGGGGACCTATTGTCCTGCCCCCGGCCCCCAACCCCGAGTGGTGGGTGGGGGCCTTAAATAAAAATTGGGGGGGAACCTAATGTCCTCCCCCCCGGCCCCCACCCCTGAGCGGCGGGTGGGGGCCATAAATAAACAATAACGGGGGGGACCTTATGTCCTACCCCCCGGCCCCCACCCCTAATTTCTTCCCCCCCGGCCCCCACCCCTGAGCGGTGGGTGGGGGCCATAAATAAAATTTGGGAGGACCTAAGGTCCTCCCCCACGGCTCCCACCCCTGCGCGGCGGGTGGGGGCCCTAAATAACAATAAGGGGGGGACTTTATGACCGCCCCACGGCCCCCATCCCTGAACGGTGGGTGGGCGCCATAAATAAAAATTCCCCCCAGGTGACTAGGAGTCCCCAAACCTCTAGTCACTCCCTCCCCCCAAAAAAATTACCCCTACCTACCCCCCTCATCCTAAAAATAATGAGAGGGGACCCTTGTCTAAATACCATTTGATGTCTTCTTTCTTCTAAAATCTTCTTTTTTCAGCCCCAAAAAAGGCCAAATAAAAATCCAGAATAACCAACGCACTTCCCCACCTTCCTAATCTTACAGAGGTTTATCATGAAATGTTTAAAGGACCACTATAGGCACCCAGACCACTTCAGCTTAATGAAGTGGTCTGGGTGCCAGGTCCAGCTAGGGTTAACCCTTTTTTTTTTTTATAAACATAGCAGTTTATAAACTTCAGTGGCTGTCTCTTGACAGCCGCTAGAGGCGCTTGCGTGCTTCTCACTGTGATTTTCACAGTGAGAAGACGCCAGCGTCCATAAGAAAGCATTGTGAATGCTTTCCTATGGACTGGCTGAATGCGCAAGCAGCTCCTGACGCACATGCGCATTCAGCCGAAGAGGAGGAAAAGAGGGAGGAGAGCTCCCCGCCCGGCCCTGGAGAAAGAAGTAAGTTTAACCCCTTCCTCTCCCCAGAGCCTGGCGGGAGGGGGACCCTGAGGGTAGGGGCACCCTCAGGGCACTATAGTGCCAGGAAAACGAGTATGTTTTCCTGCCACTGTAGTGGTCCTTTAAAGGAACACTGAAGCGTTAGGAATGCAAGCCCCCCACATTTGTGATAAAGTAAATCATTTTGGTTACCTTTTTCCAACAGCAAAGTTCTCTTGGGGATTTTTATGTCTTGGACTCCCGTGACACCATGGAGGATTCATGGGCTCCTCCAAGATGGTTCAATCCATTGAACAGCTGGGACCTGATTTGCATGCGCGTTGAATGCCGTTTGCGCATTCAAACTTCCCCATAGGAAGGCATTGAATCAATGTTGTGTCCTATAAGGACTTCCATGTCATGTGACCAAGTTTTACTTGGTCAGTGTCGCAGAAGCAACTCTAGTGGCTGTCAGTATTATAATGTAAATATTGCAGTTTCTAGAAGATTGCAATGTATCAGAGTTCAAAAAAAGGTGACTTTAGTAGTCTTTTAGGTAAAACTAATGATAAATACATGTAAATAAGCTATATGAATAAATATGTAAAATACTGTGAGTCACAGATACAGATGATTTAACAACATTGTTAAAATCGTGATTACTAACAATTGACGAAATGTGGAAACTTCTAAGCAGATGACACATTTTATACTGATAAAAAGTTAATCGTCATATAACATACAGCTGATAAAAAATATATAATTCTTTATCTTGACATTTCATGTAAGATAATAATGATGTTTTTTCATTTGTATAAAATAATGAACTTTTGACAGCAATGATTCCCTTGTGATATCACACAGTAAAATGGGTAAAAAAATAAATAAATTCAAATTTAAATATATTTCAGTTTTTATTGATTTACTTACAGCATATTCATAACAAATGACACATAGCAGGGTGTTATTAAGTCAGTTAAAAACATTGGATCATCAGTCCAGAAAATGGAAATGATACAAATTAATCATGTTGCAAACATTTTATCTTCACAATAAACAAAGAACCGGAGGTTGGGGGAAAACTACGGTTATACGATGAGATCTGGGAGGGGGTTGTCTCCTAAACGAGTAATGCTAGTGTGAATCCTTTTTTATTTATTTTTTATTACTAACATTGTTAAGTACCGTATATACTCGAGTATAAGCCGACCCGAATATAAGCCGAGGCCCCTAATTTTACCACAAAAAACTGGGAAAACGTATTGACTCGAGTATAAGCCTAGGGTGGGAAATGCAGCAGCTACTGGTAAATTTCTAAATAAAATTAGATCCCAATAAAATTACATTAATTGAATATTTATTTACAGTGTGTGTATAGAATGAATGCAGAGTGTGTGTTTGTGTGTTGTGTGTGTGTGTATATAATGAATGCAGTGTGTATATAATGCATTGTGTGTGTTTGTGCAGTGTGTGTAAACTGGGTGAGGGGAGGGCATTTTTATTTAAATTTTTTTATTTTAATATTATATTATTTTAATAATATTATTATTATTTTAATATTTTCATTTTTTTTTTAAATGTTTTTTTGTCCCACCTCCCTGCTTGTTGCCTGGTCAGGGAGGGGGGGACAAAAAAAACATTTTAAAAAAAATAATGCAAATATTAAAATAATAATAATATAATAATAAAATAATATTATTTTAATATTATATTATTTTAATAATATTAAATCCATGGTGGTCCAGTGGCACTGGCTGTTCAGTGGGGGGGCTGACAATGAGCTGTTACTTACCTCTGTCAGCTCCGTTCTGCTTACAGTGTAAGTCTCGCGACACCCGCGGGTCTCGCGAGGCTTACACTGTAAGCAGAACGGAGCTGACCGGGGAGCTGCACGGAGGAGAAGGGAGCTGACAGGAGCTGCAGGAAGGTAAGTAACAGCTCACTGTCAGCCCCCAACAGGACCGCCGGGCTTGTAATGAGCCCGGCGGTCCTGGTCTGTATTATGGCAATGTAAAAAAAAAATGTGCCGAAAAACTCGGCTTATACTCGAGTATATACGGTAGTTGTAGACAATTTTATAGGATCAATAAGAGAGATCAAGATAAACCCCATTCAACAATTACAAGACCTATGGCAACAAGTCATAATACAGTAACAATTTACAGTTCCTTGCTTTTCTGAGGTCGGATTGGTCTGGCTGGTGATCAGGAGGCAATGATATGTAGTAAGGAAGATATATATGATCTCCACTTGACCCATTGAGAGTTATGTTTATGCAATATACCATGAAACATGGAAATCAACAGTATTAGGCCACTCTCTTATAGCTACTTTTCCAATGACGGTGTATTAGAGAAACCAGGTAGACATTCTATGCCAGCAAAACTATAGTTTATTCACAGTCTTATGTGAGCGGAATGAAATAGAGCAATATTTTCCCATTCTGTACCAGTGAAGTGTATGTTTAATTTCTCCATTTGGCACAGTATGGAGGAGGTTGAACAGTTAGCATGGACAGGAGTAAAGAGTAGATCCGAGTTATGCCACGTGAAAGGGGTTGCTCAGTGTGGCATAAGATCTCAAATTGTGTCAGTGGGCAGTCAGGTTGATTCTGCCTAAATGATGATCGGACCCAGGAAAGGGAAGACAGAGGACATTGCATTTCCAGTTGTTCTAAAGCAGTGGTTCCCAACCCAGTCCTCAAGTACCCCCTAATAGTACTGGATTTAGGGATTATCCAGTTGTGTCTAAGGTATTTTTAGAAAGAAAAAAACACTTTAGACACAACAGGGTAATCCCTAATCCTGGACTGTTAGGTGGTACTTGAGGACTGGGTTGGGAACCCCCGTTCTAATGCAATCCATTGCCTATGGGGAGAAGCTGCCCTCCAGTCCACCAGACGCTGAAGATGGGAAGCCCTTTAGAAGTTTTATAGGTCAGGCATCGCAATCTCCCTCATTTTTCTAGGTTGAATCAACACACTGTGTTGCAACTTTGGCAACCGATTGCCTCATGTAAATGTGGAAAACCGCATAAGTGTAAGGCAGGATTTTGTATAAGAATAGTTTTAAAAAGTTACAAGAGGTGAGGGAGAACATTAATTTTCAGTATGCTAATATGCCCTAACCATGTCATATGTGGCATTTACCAATGTTTTGGTGAAACAGGTCCTTGGTAGATGCCAGGAGATTAACTCCCAGGTATTTTAAACAATTTGTATGCCTTTGGAAAGAAGCAAAATGTTTTAATGGATCACGAAGGGTGGCAGGGATTGAAAGATCCAGGATTTCAGATTTTGTCATGTAAATCTTAAGATTGCTAAGGGACTCAAATTGATGACATTCCTGTATAATATGAGGAAGGAAAATGATAGGTTGTGTAATGAGGAACAAGGGGTCATCCACATAAGCAGAGACTTTGTATTTTCTCTGTGTTGAAACAATGAGTAGGCACATGGGTGTGAATACATACCAGAAAGAGTTATAGTGACATGGCAAATAGTATTGGGGAAGCGGGGCATCCATGCCTTTTTCCATTGGAAATATTAATTGGCTCTTATAAAGAACTGTTTAGATTAATCCTTGCAGTGGGTAATGTGTACAGTGCCCCAATCCATTTGGATTTGATAGCAAGTCTAAATGTTTTGATCTTTTTTTGCATCGTTCGTTTTTTTTCATTGGATGAAGAAGAAGTCTATGTGACTATAAAACTTATGAGGAGAACTGTAAATGTAAAATCTTTGTCCCCTGGGTACTGTGGTCACCAGCAATCCGAGATACGAAGATTGTGTTGTGAAAGTGTTTTTAGTGATTAAAAGCTGTAATATCATTTCCTAACTGGAGTACTACCAGTATATTTTGGGAGACCGATAACCAGTGTATGTATATTATCTCATTGCTGATCCTCACACATGTAATCGTAGCACACCACACCATTTCTTTTGCCTTTTGAGTTTACCCCTTTTTTTTGAGTCAACCGAGGTGTTGGTGACAATTAGGAGACTCACTATACTTCTTGTGCTTTTGTATCTGCGAGATAGTTAAGCATTTCAGCTTGTGTACCTAGTCCCACAATTAAATCTTAAACCATCCCTCTCTGCTGGACACAACAATGCCATGTTGAGAAAATGAGATAACTAGACAATGGATCCGGCCAGCTATGGTAGGTCAAGCTGTTCAGGTCTGTCTCAGGTTGCAATAGACTCAGTCCTCGGTCAGTATTGATTTATAGGCCAAACGAGTGCAGCTTCGGTATTCCATGCCTTTGAATGGGGTTTGCAAGCACCAAGTCTGGATGCACCAGGACCAGATAACAGTGTGGATTCCTCCTTTTGTTTGTTTCTTGTCTTCTGTGTCATTTGATGACACAGAAAACTGAGTGTCTATCCCTGTCCATCTTGTGCTCACCTCGATCAGTGTATGTATTCTCTCCTCTTTTAGATCCTCTAAAATCTTTCTCTATCCATGTATTGCTCCCAACTCGAGTCTGTATTTTTTTCTATCTAGTGTCCTTCTAGTGTCATCTATCAATCCATTGTATCTTCTGTACATCAAATGCACAGTCTCTATTCCTCCTCTGTAATGCATGCTCCAAAGTCTCCCCTTGTAACATAGAAACATAGAATGTGACGGCAGATAAGAACCATTCGGCCCATCTAGTTTGCCCAATTTTCTAAATACTTTCATTAGTCCCTAGTCTTATCTTATAGTTAGGATAGCCTTATGCCTATCCCACGCATGCTTAAACTCCTTTACTGTGTTAACCTCTACCACTTCAGCTGGAAGGCTATTCCTTGCATCCACTACCCTCTCAGTAAAGTAATACTTCCTGATATTATTTTTAAACCTTTGTCCCTCTAATTTAAGACTATGTCCTCTTGTTGTGGTAGTTTTTCTTCTTTTAAATATAGTCTCCTCCTTTACTGTGTTGATTCCTTTATATATTTAAATGTTTCTATCATATCCCCCCTGTCTCGTCTTTCCTCCAAGCTATACATGTTAAGATCCTTTAACCTTTCTGGTAAGTTTTATCCCGCAATCCATGAACCAGTTTAGTAGCCCTTCTCTGAACCCTCTCTAAGGTATCAATATCCTTCTGAAGATACGGTCTCCAGTACTGTGTACAATACTCCAAGTGAGGTCTCACCAGTGTTCTGTACAATGGCATGAGCACTTCCTTCTTTCTACTGCTAATAACTCTCCCTAAACAACCAAGCATTCTGCTAGCATTTCCTGCTGCTCAATTACATTGTCTGCCTACCTTTAAGTCATCAGAAATAATCACCCCTAAATCCCTTTCCTCATATGTTGAGGTTAGGACTCTATCAAATATTCTGTACTCTGCCCTTGGGTTTTTACGTCCAAGATGCATTATCTTGCACTTATCCACATTAAATGTCGGTTGCCACAATTCTGACCATTTTTCTAGTTTACCTAAATCATTTGTCATTTGGCTTATCCCTCCTGGAACATCAACCCTGTTACATATCTTAGTATCATCAGCAAAAAGGCATACCTTACCATCAAGACCTTCTGCAATATCACTAATAAAATATTAAAGAGAATGGGTCCAAGTACAGATCCCTGAGGTACCCCACTGGTGACAAGCCCAAGCCGAATATATTCCATTAACTACAGCCCTCCTGTTGCTGTCGCTCCAGCCCACTGCCTTGCCATTCAGCAATGTTTGAATCAAACTTAAGGACCACTCTAGGCACCCAGACCACTTCAGCTTAATGAAGTGGTCTGGGTGCCAGGTCCAGCTAGGGTTAACCCATTTTTTCATAAACATAGCAGTTTCAGAGAAACTGCTATGTTTATGAATGGGTTAAGCCTCCCCCCTAATCCTCTAGTGGCTGTCTCATTGACAGCCACTAGAGGCGCTTGCGTGCTTCTCACTGTGATTTTCACAGTGAGAGCACGCAAGCGTCCATAGGAAAGCATTGTAAAATGCTTTCCTATGCGACCGGCTGAATCTTGGCATGGCTGTAAGCACTTCTTGGCGTCTTTTGTCCTTTCCGGCTGAGAGCGGTCGGTAGGAGAGGAAGAGGAGGCTCTCCATGGCGCTGGAAAAAGGTAGGATTTTTACCCACTTCCCCTTTCCAGAGCGAGGGGAGGGTC